TAGGGTATAGGGTACAGGGCAGTAAAAAGTCCGGTCTGTGTAGAAGAATTCTAAATGGCCTACAATTTTTTTATGAATAAAGTTACCGATACAAAAACTATATTTTTAAAAAAAAATGGAAGAAGTAACTATAAAAGTTATCGATCTATTTTTTATTGATGAGCTGGCCTTGTAAAATTGGGCTATACCTATTCTCTAATGCCTTTTTCTAGGGGAGGGGGGCGTGGGAAGCCCCCTACCCCCAATCTATACATTGAGTCAGACCCCACTAGCCTTTATAGGGTTAAAGGATCACTGATTGCCCTCTTGAACATAACTCGTGTGCAGCGTGTCTAGATTAAACCTTACGTGGAGTAACGATATATGACCCCTTTGAAAAATCAGTAAAGAGTTAATTTCAGATACAGGGTTTTCAAGTTATAGGAAGTCAAGACAGTAAAAGAAAAGCTTTCTGAATTCCATGAAGTCGTCTCTGAAGTCTCATCCGATTTGGGTAACCCTGTATACACAAATATATTTATTTTGAAAATACATGTAAACTGTACAAATCAAAAACTGATAAAAATTCCTAATAGGACGAAACACTTTGTCTATGGATAATATAAATGTAAATATATATATAAAGACATATAGATATATATATAAAGATAACAGTCACTTGCTGGGGAAGGGACAAAAACTTGAAATAAAAAGGTTAACCCTATCCCCACTGCATGGGGGGTACTTGCCCCCTCCCCATTATTTTAAACTAAAAAAATCTAGACTATTTAAGTTTTTTCCTCTCCCCTCTTCCTCACCCTCCACTCCCTTTCGGCCTTCCTCCCCCCTCCCTTTCTTCCTTCCTCTCCCTTCCCTCTCCCCTCCCCCTCCCCTACCTCCCCCTCAACTTGGTCCTTATCTATCCGAAGTGGGCTCCAACTGCTATTGTGCTAAATTTCAGTCACTTTTTTGCTAAGTTTTTGCCAGGCACAAATTTCTGTGATTTATTTCAGCGAGTGTTTCAAAGGAATTTGCAAATTGGCATGATTTATTAGCTGCTTAATTTTGCGCACCCGCGAAATTGTTGGCCCCCCACCTCAGGGTTTTATAGAGCAAAAAGTGTGTATCTGTGTTCGGGAAAAAACGAGCGTTAAATCTTGATCCGAGATGAAAGGAAGATTTTGAATATTGTCCCATTATTATCAATTTCACGCTTCACACACAACATTAATTTTACAACTTGAGATATTGTTTTAACTCTTTATACAGACTTCATGTTGTTGTTGTAGCTCATCCATAATATGGAAATGGATTCATGGTTATTCGAATATTTGGATATATAGATTTATGGATTTATGGATATTTAAGGATATATGGATATATGAAAACACTTGAATTTTTGAGAACATTGATCTTTATATATATATGGCTATTGGAGCATGGATATGGATGGAAACATAAATATTTGGGAACATTGGATATATATGTATATATGGCTTTTAGAGCAAGGATATAGAGATATTTGGATATATGGAATTATGGTTATATGGATGGTAATACGGGTATATGTTTATATGGATATATGGTTATATGGATATATAGTTATATGGTTATATAGTTAAATGGTTATATGGATATAAGCTATTGGAGCATGGATATGTGGATATATTGTTATATTAATATGTGGTTATATGGATAAGTGGTTTTATGAATATACGGTAATATGGATATACGGTTATATGGTTGTATGGATATATTATAATATGGATATAAGGTTATATGGATATAAGGTTATATGGATATAAGGTTATATGGATATACGGTTATATGGATATATGGTTATATGGATACATATCTAAACATGCTTTATGGATCTGTATAATCTCTACTATATGAATCTGTATAATATCTCTAATCTATGGATCTGTATAATCTCTACTCTATGGATCTGTATAATCTCTACTCTATGGATCTGTATAGTCTCTACTCTATGGATCTGTATAATCTCTACTCTATGGATCTGTATAGTCTCTACTCTAAGGATCTGTATAATCTCTTCTTTATGGATTGTATATTATGTTCTCTACTCTAAGGATCTGTATAATCTCTACTCTATGGATCTGTATAGTCTCTATCTACTCTATGGATCTGTACAATCTCTCTACTCTATGGATCTGTATAATCTCTACTCTATGGATCTGTATAATCTCTATTCTTGGATCTGTATAGTCTCTACTCTATGGATCTGTATAATCTCTATTCTATGGATCTCTGTACAATCTCTACTCTATGAATCTGTATAATCTCTATACTCTTTGGATCTGTATAATATCAATTCTATGGATCTGTATAATCTCTTCTTTATGGATTGTATATTATATTCTCTACTCTATGGATCTTTATAATCTCTACTCTATTAATCTGTATGATCTATACTCAATGGATCTGTACAATCTCTATTCTATGGATCTGTATAATCTCTATTCTATGGATCTGTATAGTCTCTACTCTATGGATCTGTATAATCTCTACTCTATGGATCTGTATAATCTCTACTCTATGGATCTGTATAGTCTCTACTCTATGGATCTGTATAATCTCTATTCTATGGATCTCTGTACAATCTCTACTCTATTAATTTGTATAATCTATACTCTATGGATCTGTATAATCTCTATTCTATGGATCTGTACAATCTCTATTCTATGGATCTGTATAATCTCTATTCTATGGATCTGTATAATCTCTACTCTATGGATCTGTATAATCTCTACTCTATGGGTCTGTATAATTTCTATTCTATGGATCTGTATAATCTCTATTCTATGGATCAGTATAATCTCTATTCTATGGATTTGTATAATCTCTACTCTATGGATCTGTTTAATCTCTACTCTATGGGTCTGTATAATTTCTATTCTATGGATCTGTATAATCTCTATTCTATGGATCTATATAATCTCTACTCTATGAATCTGTATAATATCTCTACACTATGAATCTGTACTATCTCTATTCTATGGATCTGTATAATCTCTACTCTATGAATCTGTATAATCTCTACTCATGGATCTGTATAATCTCTATTCTATGGATCAGTATAATCTCTATTCTATGGATCTATATAATCTAATCTATGGATCTGTATAATCTCTGCTCTATGAATCTGTATAATCTCTATTCTATGGATCTGTATAATCTCTACTCTATGGATCTGTATAATCTCTATTCTATGGATCTGTATAATCTCTANACTGTAACATCTAATATATATATAATCAAAGGGTGTAAACCCATTCTTGTTGACTGTAGTAGACTGTAACATAATACATGTATAATCAAAGGGTGTAAACCCATTCTTGTTGACTGTAGTAGACTGTAACATCTAATACATGTATAATCAAAGAATGTAAACCCATTCTTGTTGAGTGTAGTAGACTGTAAAATATAATACATGAATAATCAAAGGATGTAAACCTATTCCATTGACTGTAGTAGACTGTAACATCTAATATGTAAAGGGTGTAAACCAATTCTTGTTTTTTAGTACCTTTGACATCTACCTACCAAAAGGTGTAAACTCATCATAGGCTCAGTTACTCTTCAATACAAGATTTCAAATCCAACGCGAAAGCAATTGAGTTTTTGCAACAAATTCAAATTTTAAAATCCCTATATCTTTGCAACCTGACGGTGTAAATCTTTTACATTTCAAACTTAGATTATTTGATCTCACAGAATTCATAGTTTTAAATATCTCAGGTCTACCACATTAGGTTGCTAAGATATAGGAACTGAAAAATCAGAGTTTGTGGCAATAACTCAATTCCAATTTCACTTGACGTTGAAGTCATTCCAATGGATTCGACCTTATTTCTCAGAATATTTTACACAGAGAACATGTTGACTTCTTAATTGCTTTAGATTATATCATTTCAATATTTATAAATTTATCTTTTTTTTTAGAACAAATACTGATAGAATAGTACTTTCTTTTTGAAGTTTCATTGGTTGTTAATTATGTTTTTTTCTTCATTTCTATTAAACTTAATTCCTTTTTTCAAATGTGTTAATCTGAGATAAAAGATTGATATTTTATTAGAACTAATTAATATTATATTATTTTAAACATCTTTAGTATCTATCTATCTATTTATCTGCCCTTAATAAGACATTTTTATATTTGTATTTTAATTTGCAAACTTTTTCAAACGTTTAAAACGTTTGTAAAATTATGTATGTCCAGTCATCATCTTTTGGGCCTTTATTTTGTTTACATACATCTCATGAATATCTTATCCTCGTGAATAGTCCTGTATAAATCATATTTCATTATTGGATCAAACAAAGTGTCTCATTACAAAATACATTTTCAAATAATTGTATAGTTTAAATATATATTAAACATCAACTATCTATTGATTGATGAATTTTATCATAATTTAACGACAGATGAAGCACTTTTTGTAACACTATTATCTTGGGTGCCAGTGCTATAACGTGTTGGAAAAGAATTTTTCTCTTTATCAAGAAGTTTCAACCTTTTTATGTTTTGTCCTTTTCGTGATTTGATAAGTTTAAAATAATAAAAAATGCATGGCTTATTCATTATTGAAGAATGTTTAACTTAAAAATTTAACGATAGCGAGGAAAGTATCAGGGCAAAAAAGAAACAAAGAATTTAAAAAATACAACTTTAACATTTATATATTTGAGTCTCAAGATTTAACCTATAATCGTCGTCGTATATATCAGTACAATGAAGACAATTTATATTTTTTGTTTTGTAGCAAGCTTTAAAACAACATGGATACTTCTAAACTTATAATTCGAAAAAAAGGAGGTTAACAATCAAAACTTCACTAAAAACGTCGTCTTCATTGTATTGATGTAAACACCGACCACTGTATGTATGAATTTTAAAGTAGAACTTAGAAATTTTAACAACTGTCATAAATCTCAACAACTGTGTTCTTGTAAAAATAAATCAACTTGTCTGTTAAAAAAAGAAAAAATTTAAATCCTGTTTTAACAATTTATTTAACAATTTACCCTACATACTAAATACACATAAACTTCCCTTCCCAATCAACCAATCAATTAATCAAACAATCTATCGTCTTCGTTCAAACTTCTGTAGGTTTCCAGGGCGGTGGTAATCAGACCAAGCAGATTGAAATCTGTGTTATCAAAAAATCCTAAAATATTTGATATTACTATAACAGTGATATCCAGAAAACTTAAAAATTGGAAGACGACTTTATAGTAATAGTAAAGTGAGTATTTGATGTTTTTACAAAACAAATAGTTTTACTAGTAATATATTAAATCAATAATGCAGTAAAATGGATCTGTTTACACTGCACAATTACTGTGTCCCCTGCTTATCTCAACTTGACTCAAGTTCAAATAGTTCAATAAGCATGGGACATGTATGGAACACAGTAATTGTGCAGTGTAAACAGATAAATTTTACTGCATTATTATTTACTTCGTCCAAAGAAAACTATCCGCATAAAAAACTTATTAAAATTAATACAGTTTTGGTTGAGTTGGGATCAAAATTAATTGAACTATATGTAGATTAAGTTTGACCGCATCTCTTCAGCTTGACCCAATGATCAAGAGAAGTGATTTAAATAAATCTATTTATATTTGATAAATCTGGTCATTGGATTTGAGCACTGCATGAACAGATAATTATGCCTGGATATAAATTGAGAATTTCTTAAGTTTCTTACCCTCCGATATTCATACTTTAGATTCCTTCACTCCGATATTCTACTTTAGCTTTGTATCCTCCGATAGTCTACTTTAGATTCCTTCACTCCGATATTCTACTTTAGATTCCTTCACTCCGATATTCTACTTTATAACTTTGTATCCTCTGATAGTCTACTTTAGATTCCTTCACTTCGGTATTCTACTTTAGATTCCTTCACTCCGATATTCTACTTTAGCTTTGTATCCTCCGATAGTCTACTTTAGATTCCTTCACTCCTATTCTACTTTAGATTCCTTCACTCCGATATTCTACTTTAGCTTTGTATCCTCCGATAGTCTACTTTAGTTTGATAATCTTTAACATTCTTTACTTTAGTTTCTTACCCTCCAATATTCTTCTTTAGGTTCTTACCCTCCAACATTCTTTTTTTCTTACCCTCCGATACTCTTCCTTAGCTTATTTTTCCTTTGTTTCTTACCCTTCCATATATCCTCCGATATTCTTCTTTTGCTCCTTACCCTCTGACTTTCTTCTTTTGGTTCTTACCCTCCAATATTCTTCTTTAGTTTCTTACCCTCCAATATTCTTCTTTAGTTTCTTATCCTCCAATATTCGTTGATGAATAAAATGACTGTGCTAACAAAATGCTTATTTTAAGATCTAGCAAATGCATGTCAAGTACTTAACAGACCTTGATGTAGCGCAAGGTTACACTCAGTACAAACAAAATGAAGAAATAATTACTAATTTATCAAATATTCATGATTTCGCAATCATCAATTAACATGTGTTTAGAATGCGTATATGGATTTCATGCACGCATTGTTTATTGTTAATGTTAAACCCCAGGGCTGTAACTTTCTTGTCGAAAATTGTAAATGCATTTCACGCAAGTTTTCAGGAATTTTTAATATTGTACTAAAAAGGAGAAATCTTGAACGCTCTTTAGACAAAAAGTATGAATACGAATCGTAGAAGAGCTAAGTACTAAGGAATTAATGAAGACGGTCTTAAAAAGACTGGAGACGTTATTCCAAGGTTGTTAAGTATTTTCCCAAAAGACATTTTCCCCTTACGCGACATCCTAAGTGACAATTTTCCAAGTGGAAACTTCCCAAATGTGCAATTTCCCAAGCGCTAACTTCTCAAAAGTTAGGTTAGGCCTTCTCAGGTACCGCAAACTGCAATGGGGGGGGGCCGAGCGCTGCGGCTAAGATGGACTAGGGGCTGCGCGAGCACTGCAGCTAGGACAGACTTTGGAAGTTGCCGCGTGGGAAATTGCGCATTTGGGAAGTTGCCACAGAGGTAAATACCATTGGGAAGGTGCCGTTTGGGAAATGTCTTTGGGAAAGCACCTAACATCAATTCAAGGGACGCTTTATTTATAGATAAGCATGTCTGATTCACATGACGGTACCCTGACTAACCTCTGTAATCCGAGTATGCATCGGTCTCATCTCCGTAGTAGCTTCCGTAGTAGTTTCCGTTTCTCCGGGTAGATGAGGTAAACAGCAAATATGCTCCTAGTCCTACAAATATATTCTGATCAACTTCTTTATAGGAATCAGGTGAACAGCAAATAGGCTCCTAGTCCTACAAATATATTCTGATCAACTTCTTTATAGGAATCAGGTGAACAGCAGATATGCTCCTAGTCCTACAAATATATTCTCATCAACTTCTTTATAGGAATAAGATGAACAGCAAATATGCTCCTAGTCCTACAAATATATTCTCAGCTACTTCTTTCTAGGAATCAGGTGAACAGCAAATATACTCCTAGTCCTACAAATATATTCTCATCAACTTCTTTCTAGGAATCAGATGAACAGCAAATATGCTCCTAGTCCTACAAATATATTCTCATCAACTTCTTTATAGGAATAAGATGAACAGCAAATATGCTCCTAGTCCTACAAATATATTCTCAGCTACTTCTTTCTAGGAATCAGGTGAACAGCAAATATACTCCTAGTCCTACAAATATATTCTCATCAACTTCTTTCTAGGAATCAGGTGAACAGCAGATATGCTCCTAGTCCTACAAATATATTCTCATCAACTTCTTTATAGGAATAAGATGAACAGCAAATATGCTCCTCCTACAAATATATTCTTATCAACATCTTTATAGGAATCAGATGAACAGCAAATATGCTCCTAGTCCTACAAATATATTCTCATCAACTTCTTTATAGGAATCAGATGAACAGCAAATATGCTCCTAGTCCTACAAATATATTCTCATCTATTTCTTTCTAGGAATCAGGTGAACAGCAAATATGCTCCTAGTCCTGCAAATATATTCTTATCAACTTCTTTCTAGGAATCAGATGAACAGCAAATATGCTCCTAGTCCTACAAATATATTCTTATCAACTTCTTTATAGGAATCAGATGAACAGCAAATATGCTCCTAGTCCTACAAATATATTCTTATCAACTTCTTTCTAGGAATCAGATGAACAGCAAATATGCTCCTAGTCTTACAAATATATTCTTATCAACTTCTTTATAGGAATCAGATGAACAGCAAATATGTTGAGTTTCATTAACTTAAGTGTTTTAATTTTGTAAATTTATTTCAATTCGATAATTATGATTGTTCTTAGTCGACTAAACTATCAACCAAGATATCCTAAAATTATTTGACAAGAACATTGATTTATTCAATGATAAAATCCTTCAAATAAATATTCCATTGATTGGTTAACATCAGACCTGAAAGATTTGTTTGAAATAGATCGCCATCAAAAGAAATTAAATTTTTTTTTAAATTTCACATATAGCCAATACATATATTTTTGCAATCTGATGGTGAAAATTGTACTATCCGAATTAGTAGAATTTCTAGTTTAAAATATCAAAGGTATACGACATTAGGTAGAAAAAATTAGGTAGAAAAAAATAGAAAGCTAGTTTGGGATTGTGGCGAGTAATCAGTTTTTTATAAATAAATAAAGGTTTTTAAATTACCTATGGCTGCTCCGACAATAACAATAATTCCGCCGTAGAGTAATAAGGTTCCGTTTACTTGAACTAAAGCTAAACAATGAATTTTAATAGATATTTTACAATGTATGGAAGATAAGAGCGAACATACAGTCTTGAATAATAAAAAATGTGTAATTTTTAAAAAGTTGCCTTTTAAAAAAATTCTTGATTTATACTTTGTGTTCAAAATTTTATAAGCGTACATTAGAAGAAATTTCATAATACTTATAGTATCGTAAACTACATATATCAATTTCATAATACTTATAGTATCGTAAACTACATATATCAATTTCATAATACTTATAGTATCGTAAACTACATATAAGTATCGTAAACTACATATATCAATTTCATAATACTTATAGTATCGTAAACTACATATATCAATTTTGATAATTCATTTACTAATTATTTTGTATGTACATTAAATAAAATTTGATAATACTAGGTATCATGTACTTACATGATTATTACCTATTGGGGTGTTCGTACATTAAATGAATTTTATAGATGAATAATAAACTGATATTGCTGGATTTTATGTACGTACATGAAGTATAGTTTTATGTACGTACATGAAGTATAGTTTTATGTACGTACATGAAGTATAGTTTTATGTACGTACATGAAGTATAGTTTGTGTAGAACACTCTAGGGTCTGATTCCATCTCCTTCAAGTCTAGATCTGTACACCGTACGCCAGCAATTAATGCTGACGCAAACAAGACTGCATATGTAGGTGCGTACATGGCTAATCAAATCTTGAAACTGATCCGGATATTTGCGTAAAATAAGAAATTGAAAGTTACGTGATTAGCGTACGCTCATGCCTTGGAAAAATCGACGCATGAAATATTTCTGGACGAAAATATCTAAAAAATTCAAAACCGAATTCTTTATTTGTGGATAACTGAACATCTACATTTTTTTTTACTTTTAACAATTTCGGCCGCCGAACTGAAATATTTAAAATTGTTAAAACAATTCTCGTGACATCTGGTGCAACGTGAATATTGTAGGAGCTAACATAAATCTAAACAATTCTGTACTTTTAAAATATTTGGTAATACATTTGCAATAAGAATAATGCATTACAGGGAGTGTTTGCGAAAATTAAAAGGGGGGTATAGGCTCACGTCGAAAAATTTAAAATTCGGTGATGGTGACGGACCAAACCTCTGTAGAGTATAAAAAAAGTTAGTTCCACATTTATTGAAAATATATTTCGGTCTGGGTTGACCCTCGTCAGTTCTAACGATATAATAACCATAAAAATCAGTAAAAAAAATTAAAATTTTTTTTGTAAAAAATCACAAGAAGATAAACAAACAAAAAAGATTATTAAAAATGAAAATTTGGGTTGTCAAATGGACATAAGGGAAACGAACTCAGACTATGAGATGGAAAAAAGATAATTTGCAAATATTCACTTGTTAGATAAATGTTTTAAGACAATTATTATTCCTACTTCCTATAAGCTTGTTTCTGTCACAAAGAATAAAAACGAACTGTTCAGAGGTCGAAATATTGTCGATGGTGATCGCTACTAAGTCATTCATATATTACAACCTATAATCATTGATCATTTTTCGACGCATTCGGATATAGTTGATATTTCATCATATTCTTTACTTGTTTCATTTACGATGTACTTGTACGATGTTGTCGCGAGGTGTCGTTGGAAGTCTAAATTCCACATGGAACTACAGAAGCATCGAGACAGAGACACTTAGCGGCCAAATAAACTTCATAGAAAGTATATTTTATACGAAACAAGTAAAAAATATTATGAAATATCAAGTTTATACCAGTGCGTCGAAAAATTATCGATGATAATAGCTGTTGTAATTAAGTTGATTTTTTTTTCACGATCCAAGTCGTTAATGTTGCCAATTTCTGAATTTGTATGGTCGGTATGAGTCGTTTTTAACAATTTTCTCCTTAAAGACGCAACAGATAGACGTAAGATTAGTAGCAAGCACCATCGATAATATGCCCCCTTTCCCTTTTTCGCGAACACTCCCTTTAAGTTAAGATATATCTTTAGAAAATGCTTGTAATCATTATTGTGCACACTGTACACTTCCAGTCATCATTACTATCACATATGTTAAGTTTATCAAATGTAATTGTACAGGGACTACTTTATATTTCAGTTTATTACTGTACAGGAACTACTGTATACTTCAGTTTATTACTGTACAGGAACTACTTTATATTTCAGTTTATTACTGTACAGGGACTACTTAATATTTCAGTTTATTACTGTACAGGAACTACTGTATACTTCAGTTTATTACTGTACAGGGATTACTATATATTTCAGTTTATTACTGTACAGGGACTGCTGTATATTTCAGTTTATTACTGTACAGGAACTACTTTATATTTCAGTTTAATACTGTACAGGGACTGCTGTATATTTCAGTTTATTACTGTACAGGAACTACTTTATATTTCAGTTTAATACTGTACAGGGACTACTGTATACTTCAGTTTATTACTGTAAAGGGATTACTATATATGTCAGTTTATTACTGTACAGGGACTACTATATATTTCAGTTTATTACTGTACAGGGACTACTATATATTTCAGTTTATTACTGTAAAGGGACAACTTTATATTTCAGTTTATTACTGTACAGAAACTACTTTATATTTCAGTTTATTACTGTACAGGGACTACAGTACATTTTAGTTTATTACTGTACAGGGACTACTATATATTTCAGTTTATTACTGTACAGGGACTATTATATATTTCAGTTTATTACTGTACAGGGACTACTATATATTTCAGTTTATTACTGTACAGGGACTACTGTATATTTCGTTATTACTGTATAAAGGGACTGCTTTAATTGTTCAGTTTATTACTGTACATGGACTACTGTATATTTCAGTTTATTACTGTATAAAGGGACTGCTTTAATTTTCAGTTAATTACTGTACAGGGACTACTTTATATTTCAGTTTATTACTGTATAAAGGGATTGCTTTAATTTTCAGTTAATTACTGTACAGGGACTTCTGTATATTTCAGTTTATTACTGTATAAAGGGACTGCTTTAATTTTTTAGTTTATTACTGTACAGGGACTACTGTATACTTTCAGTTTATTACTGTATAAAGGGATTGCTTTAATTTTCAGTTTATTACTGTACAGGGACTTCTGTATATTTCAGTTTATTACTGTATAAAGGGACTGCTTTAATTTTTTAGTTTATTACTGTACAGGGACTACTGTATACTTCAGTTATTACTGTAAAAAGGGACTGCTTTTATTTTTAGTTTATTGCTGTACAGGGACTACTGTATATTTCAGTTTATTGATGTACATAGAGAATACTGTATATGTCAGCTTATTGCTCTATATGGACTACTGTATATATTAGCTGTTTATTGCTGTCAGAGGCGTATACAGAGTGGGGACAATAGTTTTCCCTCTAAAAAAGTAGTTGCCAAATTTTCTTTCCGCTTCGCGCCATTTATTTTCAAATTATACCTTAGTATTTAAACCTTNNNCCTCCCACTCTATACTACAGTGGACTTCAACGGGGAGTAGTCTTCAGAACTAAAGGGATACATTATAATATATAGGCCTTAAAAGGGGACTACAATAGGCTACATAGGGGACATGGTGTAGACTTAACAAAAAATAACAGCATTATTAAGGCTATGGAGAAAAAAAAATCAGACGATAACTTGCTAACTTGTACAGGGAGTACTTTAAGTCTGTATCAATCTAGATACAACTCTCTCTTTCTGTATTCTTGAGTATGTATCAATCCAGATATAATTCTCTCATAGGTATTCTTAATTATGTATTTTCGACACACAAAGCAATAGAACACTATAGTCTCTACTGAGAGCGATATTACTCTGACCGTAATCAAACAGGGTTCATATTCAACTACCTATATTTTGGGTTTAATGATACAGGTAAAATGTAATTGACCGATAGGTCTATTAACTAACATAGTTAAATATACAAGACATGTTAATTAGGGTTATTACTAAATATATATATATATAGGTAGGTTCAGATTTCCTAGATATGGGGGGTTATTACTATATTTCTTGCATATATATATACAAAACAACAGATTTATTCATATATAAAGTAGTATTCGCAACTTGTTTTAGTTTAATTGTTTGTCCGATCTTTGTCCGATATAAACTATATTATGAATATAAACTATATCGTGAATATAAACTATATCGTAAATATAAACTATATCATGAATATAAACTATGAATATAAACTATATCATAAATATAAACTATATCATGAATATAAACTATATCATGAATATAAACTATATATCATGAATATAAACAATATCATAAATACAAACTATATCATGAATATAAACTATATCATGAATATAAACTATATCATGAATACAAACTATATCATGAATATGAACTATATCATGAATATAAACTATATCATGAATATAAACTATATTATGAGTATAAACAATATCATAAATGTAAACTATATCATAAATATAAACTATATCATAAATATAAACTATATCATGAATATAAACCACATCATGAATATTAATTATTTGTAATTACTTTACAGAAAAGAAGGAAATTTTACTTTTCCAAGGGTTTCCAAGACCAATTGTGTCTACAAAACATCTAGAGTGCAGCAAGGGATGTTTTTAGACAAATTGATCGTGAAAATTGTGGCTAACATTTTTAATTTCTTGAAAAAGTAATTGTTCACAATTTTATCGTCTTTTGAGATGAAAATGTGACATTTTTTCCGAAAACTACAGAGAGTGGGTGGTTAATTCACATAACGGTATAAAGGGACGTTAAGTACTTAACCTTCCTCTTCCGTCGGTAATAAGGTTTCCAGCGAACGAAAACCTTCGAAAAAATTCAAAAATTTTTGTTCGTATTTTACAAAGTTTTTAGCGAGATTTTGCGTTTGTTCAGGAAAATGAACTAAGCCAAAAAAAAATTTCTACACGAAACGATTAGCCATTTTCGCAGTATAAAATTATAGCATGATCAAACTATAAACATAATATTCATCATAAACATTGATTGAAAGTCTTTTTTATACTGTATATACATAAATTGGATTTAAGCATCAAGAAATAAACAAAATATAAATTAGCAGAATGGACAACACAAAATTTGATGTTGTCTGTTTTATATTTTGATCTGTAGAAATTTTGCACGTCAAGATTATTAGATAAAATAGTGAAACTGAATATCTAGCCTGATAATACATACCAGAGCAAACCAGGTTAAACATAAACATTAAACATACACTATCATCTTCAAGATTATCATTATAAGAATTTCTTTTTTGTTAGTCTTCGTTTTTTGCAGCAATATTGTTGCGGCAACATTGTTTGCAGCAATATTTTTGCACAAGCTTTTTTTTCAAACCGTACGCTTTTTAGTTTTTTAATCAATCACCTGTTAACGTAATAGAAATAGATTTGAATATTATTTTGTAGGTTTAAATATGGTCGTTTAGGGTTCAAGACTGTCTTCTACATTTTGAAGCATGCTTTCCTTGTTTAAAACCTACTTAGCACCCTTAAAATTGCAACAACTTTTAAGGGAAAGCTGGGCCCAAGATGTTTAACAAGACAAGAATTGCATCCCAATACCTAGACTTTCATTCTTTAAAGGGGGGGGGGAGGGTATTATTTAATTTACATAATCTCTTTAAATCATTTTGGGTTGGTTTGGTTCAAGTTTGTTAAGGTTTGGGTTTGTATCTTGATGTTTGGTTTTGTCAAGTTTGGTTTGATTTTCTCCAACACATTAAATTTCAAAGCAAGCACGACATAGGGACCCTGTCAAAAATACGGAAATTAAATTAAATTTAAAATATACTAAATTAACTAAAAGTCCATAAAATTAATCTAATCTTAAAAGTAAATTTTTTTTTAACATTTTTTCATGTTTGAAATATTGTTTTGTTCTTGTTTTTGTGAAAGGTTTGGTTAGAAAAGATTTCATTGTCTTGATTATGATACAAGATCTAGTAACGGTGCACTGCCCATCATACAAGGGGTTACAAGGGGCCACACGGGACTTTAGGGACCAGTGTGGGCTTTCAAGGGAACAGGAACATTAAGGGCTTTTTGGAGAACAAAGAAGGGAGCTTTTAGGGCTCTTTATTACAAAAATGGAAATGAGTTGTCACAGGAATTAAATTATTTTTATTTATTTATTTAAATTATTTATGTTTATACCCAGTTAAAAAAAACTACCGAATGTTTAAAAAAAAACTATCAGGATAACAGAACAGGGTAGAGAAAAAGTAAACTGTTATGAAGAAGAAAGAAGATTTAACCCTGGATATATCGTGTTAAGAACTCATAACTTGTTAAAATTATTGCAAGATTTTAAGATCATACTTTTGTAAATATTTCACAAGGAACACAATTCAAAGAATGAATAGATGAAATAAGGTTAGATGAAGAGAATGTAGAATACTGGAAGGAAGGATGGTGAGAAAAATATATGATAGAATGAATGAGGATGGAAATGATGAATGATTAATGAAACCCATTTTAATTTGGTGACCTATTTCAAAGATTATGTTGAGGACCATATATACCGATATTCCGGGGACCTAGAAGCTAGTTAATGATATACTTAATTCTTCTAAAAGTTCAATATTCTTCTTAAATGTTAAAGATATGTCCCCTGTTAAAAATGCTCAGTATTTGATCAAGGTGATAAATCAAGATTTTGGATATTGATATATTATATAGGTAGATATATATATAACTGTAAATATATAGATATATAATGATTATCATTTATCAGCACTACCATCAGTAGTTTAAACCTACATCAATATACAGGGTTTAAACCCAAAAGATGATAGAAACGACTGTACGGAAATAATTCAGTTATTTTTTAAGTTCTCTACACAGCTGTAAAGGAATTATGTCTTCGCCACAAACTCTGATTTTCTGATCCCTATATCTTTGCTACCAAATGTCGTAGACCTCAGATTGGTAAGATATAACGATAAGACAATTTGATTGTGTTGCCGAGACTCAATTCCATTCTTTTTAACCCTAAACAGGCTGGGGGGGGGGGGGGGGTGCCCGCCCCCTCTAGTTTTTTTGCCCTAGCACTCTCATGTTAATACTATATCACATTTTTTTAACTTTAAATGAATAAAAATTTAAAGGATTTCTTTTAATGCTTAGGGTAGTGTACAGTGCGTAAAAAGTCCGGTCCGTGTAAAAAAAAACCTAAATTAGCTCATATCATATATGTAAAACAAATAAATTATTTTTTACATTTTTTTTAAAAACTATTAAAGTTATCGGTTCAATTCTTTCAATGAGCTGGCCTTGAAAAATTGGTCTATGAACATGTATTTCAACCCTATATCTAGACTCAAAGCCCTTTTTCTAGAGTGGGGAGGTCGTGGGACGCCCGCCCCCAGGTTATACATAGATTTAGAAGCCCCAGCCTTCATAGGGTTAAAGACTTCATTTAAAGATAAAGATCAAATTAAAGCCTATTTATTATATTTAAAGATTTTTTGGTAATCTTTAAAGCCTAATCTGTATGGATATTCCTATACCTCTGTAAATATTTTACCATTTAAACAATTTCAATATCTTTATTTAAATCATAAAAAAGCAATTATAACTAATATATTAAATAGAAATTATTCAGAACTAGAACTAGTCAGAGCCAATCATAGATTAATTAACAATAACAGATAGAACACTTGATGTCGTCTTTTCGAGATTTAGGGGTTTTTAGTTCACAATAACCCCCTATGTCAGAAGTCTGAAGGAGTTCCACGCAGCGTTGAATTACAAGATGCAAAGAGATTACCTGAATCTAGTGTCCTATCTGTTATTGTTAATTAATCTATGAGGCCAATCTCGATCTTGCAATTATAAAAGTTTATTTACTGATTAGTATTAAAAACTATAATTTAGCAAAGATTGATTTTGTTTTAAATAAGAATAGTGATACACATTACAATTTACAAATTGACCCCCCCCCCCCAAAAAAAAATGTTTTTTATATATCTTTTCCTAAACCGGGACTTTTTTGTTTAAAGATTTACTGATAGAGGTTGTTATACACACACAAACATAGACAAACCCACACTAGGACGTATTTGATTGACAGGTATCTAAAAATCCCTGGAATTATATAAATACACAAAAAAACAAATTATTCACCCCTTTCAATCATATATTACAGGGAGATACATTTCATGTTTTTAATTAATATAAAAATCGAAAATTTTACAAGATTTTCCTGATCTTCATTTATAACCTTAGAATGATGATTTGAGGGGGTTAAAGGAAGGTAGTTAATCCCTTGAAATCAATTATATTCTAGGTGTCGGATCCCAGTGTCGGGTCGTTAAAGGCATAGATAGATAGAGATTAGGGAAAATAAATTAATATTTTACATTGAAATTTTTTTTGAAAATCATAAATAGTTGTTAAATCTGAGAAGGTTATCATCATTCAATCCTTCTCCTCATCCTTTCATTCTCATTCAATCCTCTCCTCATCCTTTCATTCATCATTCAATCCTTCTCCTCATCCTTTCATTCATCATTCAATCCTCTCCTCATCCTTTCATTCACCATTCAATTCTTCTTTTCATCCTTTCATTTATCATTCAATCCTTCTCCTCATCTTTTTATTCATCATTCAATCCTCTAATCCTGTCATTCATCATTCAATCCTTCTTCTCATCCTTATATACATCATTCAATCCTTCTTCTCATGCTTTCATTCATGTATATATTTTTCTCACCATCCTTCATTCCAGTATTCTTTATTCTCTTCATCTAACCTTATTTCATCCATTCATTCTTTGAAATGTGTTCCTTGTAAATAAAACTAGTTATAGTATAATGTATTTTCCTTGTACATTCAACTGTAATCAGTGTGATTTATGTTCCTTGTACATACAACTGTGTATAGTGTGAAGTATGTTTCTTGTACATACAACTGTGTTTAGTGTGAAGTATATTCCTTGTACATACAACTGTGTTTAGTGTGAAGTATATTCCTTGTACATAAAACTGTGTTTAGTGTGAAGTATGTTCCTTGTACATACAACTGTGTTCAGTGTGAAGTATATTCTTTGTACATACAACTGTATTTAGTGTGAAGTATATTTCTTGTACATAAAACTGTGTTTAGTGTGAAGTATATTTCTTGTGCATAAATCTGTGTTTAGTGTGAAGTATATTCCTTGTGGATAAAACTGTGCTTATTGTGAAATATGTTCCTTGTACATAAAACTGTGTTTAGTGTGAAGTGTATTCCTTGTACATAAAACTGTGTTTAGTGTGAAGTATATTTTTTGTACATACAACTGTGCTTAGTGTGAAGTATATACTTGTACATAAAACTGTGTTAAGTGTGAAATATGTTTCTTGTACATAAAACTGTGTTTAGTGTGAAGTGTATTCCTTGTGCATAAATCTGTGTTTAGTGTGAAGTACCTTCCTTGTACATAAAACTGTGTTTGCATATATTTCAAAAATGAATTTATATTTTTACAAATATTATTCGCTAAATTAGATATTTTTTAAAGATCCCCAAGCGAAACAGGTATTAAAGAATATACCTTTATTGTAGTCCATAAAATATATGATGTTTATTGTTTATACAAAACCTATATAAAGAAAGAATTAGCTAGCAATGGACCCAACTGACTGTGCTATTGTAAGTGAAGAATGCTGTGAGCCAGACCCATCATTAGTTGTTGTTGTTGTTGATGGGTTAGCTGTTGGTCTGAACACTACAGCTGGGGTTTGTGGTTCTGGAGTTTCACCGATGCAATCACTAAAGTAATAAAGGAACTAAATACGATGCAATCACTAAAGTAATAAAGGAACTAAATACGATGCAATCACTAAAGTAATAAAGGAACTAAATACGTATTTTCAATCTTGTTAAAGAGCGGCATGTTCTATTCACAGAAGTATTGATCAAATTGTTTTTTGCTAAATAATAATTAATTTGATAAAGGGGACTTGTTAGTTTATGAGGACAAGAAAAGAATGAAAATTGTCTGAATTAACCCCTTTTTTTAATGTTTTTTTTTAATTAATAATCAGATGAACCGGACATGATGCTTTAGAAATGAAGGGTCATATGGAATAACGACTAAATTCCTCGTAAATGTGTTTTTTAAAGGGAATGTTCGCGAAAAATGAAAGGGATCTAGGCTTACGTCGAAAAAAATTCGATGGTGATCGAGACTTTTCTTACTCCTATATAGTTTGCCTCTATAAGGAGAAAATTGTTAAAAACGACTCATAACGAAAAACATGTTGCGTCCATACAAAACCAGAAAGTTGTAATATTATACTCAGATAGTAAAAAAAAAACAATTTAATTTTTAATAAATCATTATAGATATTACAACCTATAAACATCGATTTTTATTCGACGCTTTCGTATGTAGTTGATATTGCATAATATTCTTTGTTTGTTTTATATATGATCCAATTCAATTAGTTGGCCGCCAGGTGTCTTTGCTTTTGATGTTCCATGTAGGAGAGACAAAAAATCGTAGTTTTAAGCGCATTGTACATAAAACCAATAAAACATATTTTGAAGTATACTTTATACAACTTTATACAAATGTGTTGAATAAAATTCGATGATTATAGGTTTTAATATCTAAATGATTTGTTTGGAATTAAATACATATTTTTTTACGATCTGAGTCGCAACAGATAGAAGTAAAATTAGTAGCGATCACTATTGAATACTTTTCCACATAAGCCATAAGCGTTTTTCCCTTTAATAAACAAAAATATGTATTACCTTGTGAGTTGACCACATGTGTATGTGCACGAATAAAAAAGATATGAAACTAAAAAATAGAAAAATTTATCTGTTCAGAGCTGGAAACTTTAGACTGAAGGATATCGAGAGTAATGCTTTATCCTATCTTTTTTCTTAATTTCGAGACTAACTTAATCATGTATATGTGTATAAAATTCAAGCAATCATGAGTCGCGTATCAGAAGCCGATAAATTTGAAATTTTGCGCGCCATTTAACTAATATACAAAAACGGGAAGGACTCGTAATTTAAAAAACCCCGTTTTTTTATTTTTCTCTACTTTATCCAAAAAAGAGTGGATTAAGCAAGCAATCAAAAGTGTCCACATTGGATAGTCGGATTAAGCAGTCGGGATTAATGGTATCCTATTCTAACGTTCCCAGCTCAGACGATTTTCATATTCATATGTTTATAAAGTTCTCACAGATCGTCTTTGATCTTTGAAAAAATTTGCAGCATTAATTATTTAGTAAAATTTTAGGAGTAAAATTCTTGAAATACTAATCACAAAAAAACATATTCCTGGCATTTCCTAAAAACCAGCAGGAATAGGGTTAAAAAGGTGGGTTAATTAAAAATCCGCCATATCCAATTCTAGACTTTTAGGCTGCTTCAAGACCATATTCTTTTTGCCATTTTCTCTTTTAATACATTGTAAAACAAAAAAACAAAAAAGGTTCGCGGATTTTATCAAAAAAATTGTGGATTTTCAAAATTTCATTAATCATCCACAAACTTCCCTGGGGTCATGTGAGGTCCCACACAAAATTTGGGCCTGATCGGTTTAGTCTTTTTGACGTTTATTGGATGTAAACAATCACTCAAAGAAATTTCAAATTTTTAGTAAAAAAAATTTGTTGGAACACCGGCATCAAATTCAACTTACCAGAATCATATTTGCCAAATTTTGTTGATTGATTCTGATTGATGCCACTGCTCCAACAGATTTTGTTAGATGAAATTTGAAATTTCTTAGAGTGAAACATATAATATAAAATATGTACCTGTGCATATCTGTGAGCAAGGTTGATTAAAGCATGATATCCTGCACTCATATTCTTCTATCCTAAACATGATATCCTGCACTCATGTTCTTATATCCTAAACATAATATCCTGCACTCATATTCTTCTATCCTAAACATGATATCCTGTACTCATATTCTTATATCCTAAACATGATATCCTGTACTCATATTCTTATATCCTAAACATGATATCCTACACTCATATTCTTATATCCTAAACATGATTTACTGCACTTATAACACAAGGATATTGGAAGCATAAATTCATATAGAAAGTTTTAGAACCTGATGTTGATTTTCATATTCTTGAAACAATCCAAAACTATTTTTAAATTGCGAATTTTTCATAGAGCGCTAAAATATTAATATCGGATTTTGAAGGTGTGCTGAAATTATTTACACAAATCTACAAAATTTACCTAGATCCCGGATATTCTTACTGCATCAAAACATGTCATTTATTTTCCATGGGATAATTTTTTATGTTTTAACAATTTATTTTTAAATTAAAATTTTTTAAAAACAAAATTTAAAAAGAGCAGTAATTTTTTTCTCTAACCCTTGTATCTTTTTTTATTCTATTAGTCTCTTGTAGAAAAGGCATTCCTGTATGCCAAGTCCATTAGCGCTTGATCCAATCAGGGTTCAGTCATGTGTTTGTTGTCCATTCTGAACCAAAAGAAATAGCATGGCGGTATCATTTTTCTTTCTATCTATCTCATTTTCCAATTAGAGATATGAATCCTTCAATCGGCGATTTCAGTTAATGAAAATATTTACTTCTACTGAAACTTTAATGAAGGGAAAAATGGAGGTTAGCTTCAAGCACAGTTTTCTCAATCTTCTTACGGGTTTAAAAGATCATTTTTTTATGTAAGTTAGAAAAATCTCCCTTTCACAAATCTGCGAAATTTAATTAGCATTATTATTTCAATAACGGCTGGACCAATTGGACTGACTTTTTTGTGGACACTCATGGGTGGCCGGGGGGTGATATAGGCTTTAAAAAAAGTTCAACATTTTTATTTCAAATTTTTTTTTCAATTTTTTTCTACGGGTAACGCCGGGCCGTTCAGCTAGTTAAATATAAAGAGTCAAGTAGATAAAACATTAAAACTAAATGATTATACTTACATACAGAAGAAGAATCTGTCTCCTAGTCCTGAATTGAGTTCTGCGGAAATGATGTTTGTAAACAAGAAGAAGGAGATTGCAAGAAAACTAAATAATGTCATTTTATTTGTTTAGTACTGGAATACTGTTTTATATACTACTAATTACAAATTGTCCAGGTGTGTATTACTCGGGTTAAAAATATGGAATTTAAACCGTATTATTACTCATCAAACCCCCAACAAATAATCGATAAATTTTACATTCTTAACCCTTATGCAAGTGCCACCTAAACATAACTTAGGAGGAGGGAGCTAGAGAGGGAAGGTTTTTGGAAATTTTTATTTTTATTTTGTAATCCTTTTCTAAAACATCTAGTTTATTTCTAGAAATAAAACAATTGGGGAGAAAACCTCCAAAAAAATCTAATATTAATTTTCAAAGTTTTCTTTGACAAATCCAGTTATGTATTATTGCAAAAAAATGCACAATACATAAGTAATTGTTTATTTTAAAATACCTTTGACATTGCAGTTTCCAACTTGCAAAATGTTTGCAGAAATCAGGTAAAATGAGAAAATACTGAAAAAATGCTACCTATAGGCTTCTAATTTTTCCAAAATGCTAAACATTATAAAATTCTAACAACCGGACGTGAATCAGAGATTTCGTCAGGCATCGTGAGGCATCTACCAAAGAGATCAAGCGAGCTATTAGTGCTAAATACGCTTACATAAAGTAAAATTACAAAGATGGGGGGAAAGCATGATCGCTACCCAAAGAAAGACCACAGGGGAAACTGAACACCCCCCCCCCCCGTTTTCATTAATTCTATTCAGTTTGCAAATAGTTGTGCTTCTAGGGTTTCCACAAAATAACCATATTTTTGCACATAATTTGCGTAATTTTCGCGCAAATATTTTTTTGCGAACTTTTAAGCATATTGTACGCATAAGTATTGCGCGAAAATTACGCGAATTTTTTGTGGTAATTTGCGCAAAACCGGGATATTGCGCAAAACGTTAATTTGTACGCAAAACATGTTATTGCAAATTGACCAAAATCGACGGTTTCAGCACAGAATCAAACAACTGAAGGTTATTCAAAAATTTACATTCAAATAAATTATGATTAAGCTACTCTCAATTGGTTTCTTTTAGTTACAAAATTTTCAAACTGAGGGACAAAAATTAATCAAACAGAAATTATAAATTTGAAAATTAATACATAGTTTTTAAAGATATCTGAATCTTTGTGTGGTGCTATATTTCAAATGTTGACTACTTCTAGTCGAATGCATATATATGAAATATAAAAAGTATATGTCCGGCCACTGAGATAAAGACAAGAGTGAAACTTATAAGTCATCATATATTTAGACAGCCTCGACTTTGAAGTGTTGCAACGCCTTGACCTTTGGTTTTACCTCACCAACTCACTGAAACTTTTTTTGTGTTCCTAGACATATTCGTTTTAAAAATGCTGCATGTGTGTTTATATCTTAAGTTCAAAATGAGTAATTGGCACTATAATGCTCGACTTTTCTGTGAGATCGTTCCCATCTTGATTTGCAGTGTGCCATCATGTATTAGGTTGCAAAATAGAGTTTTAGGCAAGTAATCATTTCTTTTCTAAGCATTACTATTATTTACAAAAAAAATGCAATTTCTTAGAAAACTAATTTATACAGTTTACACCTTTAAATAACGTCAAAGTGGAATAGCGCACCGAAAGCAAAAATTTGCCCTTTCTTTCGCAAAAATTGAACAAAAGTTTTGCAAAGTTTTCCAAAGTGAAGAATTTTGGTTTTCTTTAGTAAATTGAAATCTTGATATCTCCGGTAATATTTAAAGCACAAATAAGCAAGTCACATTTTGGAAATACCAGAACAGGGGAATTTTATGATTATTATTTCAAAAATCATACATGTAAAGTAAGGTGTAAAAACAGTGCCGCAAATTATTAAAGTGAGACAAAGACTACCTTCATGGCTTCTTTCAACTCTTATGTTTGGTGGGTCACCTTGTATAATAATTCAGTTTTTATAGATTTCGAATCATTGTAAAAAGATATCTAATTTTACAGGCAAGAAAATGAAAACAATTTAACTAATTAGGATCATCTATAAAAACTATAAATACTGAAAGCAAATATTCACTTAAGTTGTTACTGACATAATTTGAAATAATAACAATGCGGAGCACTGCGGTTAGCAAAAAGGTTTGGGGCCGAGTCAAGTGGCTGGTTTGGGGAAATTAAATGAGTAAGAAAGAGATTAAAATCAAAAATGATTGTTACTAATTTTTTCAGGCACTGCCTGTTTTAAATTTGTTTTCCGAAAATGTTTTGTGAAAGATTGCGTCTTTCCGTAATTTACTTCTGCTTTCCATAACGTGCTTCTCATAGGTATGCTTTTTCGTTACACGTCTTTGCTTTTCGTAACGTGCCTCTCTAAAGTTTTCCCCTCCGTAACGTGTCCCTTCAGATTTTTGTTTTCATACACATGTGTCTGTTTTTCAATACAGTCTTCTCAGTATACGCTAAAAGAAGAATGGTGGTTTATCAGAAGACAAATTTTATGAATTTAAACCCCGTCGCTGATCCGCCAAAAACCGATTCCAATTCAGCGCCGGCTCAATTCTCGAATCACTGAATACAATTTGAAGTGAAACCAACCATGTTTGAACTGCGTCCCCAATTTAAGCCGAGGCTTAAATTCTTTAAATTCTAGTTCTAGCCTAATCTGTTTTTTTTCATAATATGCTATACTTTGGAAACTTCAGGTGTTTACGTGCAAGAGATTTAAAATGCATTGAATTGATTTATGAAAAAAACGTAAAAGTAATTTTTTAGCTTAGCCAAGGTGCTTGTAGTTTCCAGACACCAGAGGAGGCTTATCAGAATACACTATTCTGAGGAGGGTGATTTATCAGAATACTCTATTCTAAGGAGGGGGGTTTATCAGAATACTCTATTCTAAGATGGGGGGTTTATCAGAATATACTATTCTAAAGAAGGGGGTTTATCAGAATACACTATTCTAAGGAGGTGGGTTTATCAGAATACAATATTCTAAGGAGGGGGGTTTATCAGAATACTCTATTCTAAGGAGGGTGGTTTATCAGAATACTCTATTCTAAGATGGGGGTTTATCAGAATACACTATCTAAGGAAGATGGGTTTATCAGAATACAATATTCTAAAGAAGGGGGTTTATCAGAATACACTATTCTAAGGAGGGGGGTTTATCAGAATACAATATTCTAAGGAGGGTGGTTTATCAGAATACACTATTCTAAGGAGGGTGGTTTATCAGAATACAATATTCTAAGGAGGGTGGTTTATCAAAATATGATGGGGGGTTTATCAGAATATACTATTCTAAAGAAGGGGGTTTATCAGAATACACTATTCTAAGGAGGGGGGTTTATCAGAATACAATATTCTAAGGAGGGGGGTTTATCAGAATACAATATTCTAAGGAGGGGGGTTTATCAGAATACACTATTCTAAGGAGGGGGGTTTATCAGATTACACTATTCTAAGGAGGGTGGTTTATCAGACTACACTATTCTAAGGAGGGTGGTTTATCAGAATACACCATTCTAAGGAGGGGGGTTTATCAGATTACACTATTCTAAGGAGGGTGGTTTATCAGAATACACTATTCTAAGGAGGGGGTTTGATCAGAATACACATTCTAAGGAGGGGGTTTATCAGAATACAATATTCTAAGGAAGGGGGTTTATCAGAATACAATATTCTAAGGAAGGTGGTTTATCAGAATACACTATTCTAAGGAGGGTGGTTTATCAGAATACAATATTCTAAGGAGGGGGGTTTATCAGAATTCACTATTCTAAGGAGGGTTGTTTATCAGAATACAATATTGTAAGGAGGGTGGTTTATCAAAATACACTATTCTAAGGAGGAGGCTTATCAGAATACAATATTCTAAGGAGGGTGGTTTATCAGAATACAATATTGTAAGGAGGGTGGTTTATCAAAATACACTTTTCTAAGGAGGGGGTTTATCAGAATACACTATTCTAAGGAAGGGGCCGTTTATTAAAATACTCAAAATATGTTATAAAATGAATAGATAAAGAACTAATGATTTATTTTAATATTATCTTACCTTATTGTTTATTATTATATCATTCATTGAAGTGAGTGCACTCTTCTAATTATAAGTAATTCTTTTAATTTGATTTTAAATAATTTGCTTCTTATATTACACTTCAGTTCTGTCAGATGCTTCCAATAATAGCATTAAAACTATTTCTTCTAGGTAAGCTGATTCTTAATTTTTATACAGTTAAACCTAGCACTTCGGAAACATCAAATGAATTCATTAAATGCCATTTTCTAAAACCTTACTGATCATGCAATGCTGCAGATATTTAGTTTTTAATCAAATAATAATATGGAGCTCTTTAAAACTGTTCCCGCATATTTTTTGTATATTTATTTTTTACTTTTACTAAGAATTAGGTAAAATAGTGTAAAACCCATTGAACAACATAAGACGACATTTTATAATTATTTGGATTGCTCCGAAGTTCTAAGTGAAGTTCGATTTAATATAATAAAACAATTTGCCGAAATGAAAAAAATCAGCGAATGGATGCAAGAATTATTGAGTTTGTTTCCTGATATAATCCGTTAATAAAGTGCGTAAACAAAAGTTTCCAGCATAGAACCTGATAATAAACAGGGTGTCAAATTAAACATGACAGTTCAGAGACAACTTGATGGTCGTCTTTTATCTTTGAAACAAGTATTAAAACAATAATATTAGTTCTTGCTAGTCTAGTCTGCCATATTTTATTTATTCATAAATACGGGAAATATTAAAAAATCAATTAAGATTTTATATATTAAACAATCCCAAAATTTGTCGTTACTGTATTTCCATGTTTATTGGGAGTTGGGACATCATGTAGTTAGTCCGGAGGTCAAAACCTTTGTTTAAAGCATTGTTAATATTAAGCGCTATCGATATCTAATGTGGACACTTTTAATTCTTAGGATAAATTCTAGATTCTTCAATTAAAGTTATCCCTGTAGGGTATAACCACTACGGGATATCCCTGTAGGGTATAACCAATACGGGATATCCCTGTAGGGTATAGCCACTACGGGATATCCTTGTAGGGTATAACCACTACGGATATCCCTGTAGGGTATAACCACTACGGGATATCCCTGTAGGGTATAACCACTACGTGATATCCCTGTAGGGTTTAACCACTACGTGATATCCCTGTAGGGTTTAACCACTACGGGATATCCCTGTAGGGTATTGTTATATTTGAAAGGATACCCACAAAGGTGGGTAACAATACTCTAGTAGTCTTCAAGTCACACACCAATAATAGAACAAAGTAGTTGAACATTTATATTAAAGAGAAACAAAATGAAGGAATAAATAACTAAAGTCAAAAGACACAGATTTGGCACTCAGTGATGGGTTACTCCTTTGGCCGGATACTCCTTGGCTGGATACTCCTTTGGCTAGATACCTCCTTTGGCTAGATACCTCCTTTGGCTAGATACTCCTTGGCTAGATACATTCAACATGGTATCTCCTCAGGGCTGCATATCTCCTCAGGCAACATATCTCCTCAGGTCAATTATCCCCTCAGGTCAATTATCCCCTCAGGCAACATATCTCTTCTGGCACCATCTTTGTTTGGGTAACAAATCTCCTTCAGCATGTTGTTTTCCCACAGCTCCAATCTGTCCAAGCAGTTTCTGTTCCATTGGACTGAATGCTTCTTACCACTGTGGGGAGTTGGCGAATGTCTTCATCCTCTCTTTGTGAGAGCTGGTTCACAACTAAACTTATTCTTTGTTAGGTCTCCTTTTATATCCTGTGATCCTGTCTTATCAACACATCCTTATCGTGTTTGGAAAGCTAGAGTATCTAGATAAGGTGGTTGGAGCAGGGGGAGGAAGTTGGGGATGGTTACCTACCCCCTTGGTTTTAATTCTGGTTGTATATGGCAAACCAGACTTAAAACCACATAATACAATATGTTATTGATGTAAAACTTGAATCATACTAGAATATTGGCGTACCAAATCAAAATGCATTTACTTAAGCAATATTGATTAAATTAAAGCTGTCACCATGTTAGTGATATCCCTGTAGGGTATAAACACTACTTGATATCCCTGTAGGGTATAACCACTACGGGATATCCCTGTAGGGTTTAACCACTACGTGATATCCCTGTAGGGTATAACCACTACGGGTTATCCCTGTAGGGTAAAACCACTACGTGATATCCCTGTAGGGTATAACCACTACGTGATATCCCTGTAGGGTATAACCACTACGTGATATCCCTGTAGGGTATAACCACTACGGGATATCCCTGTAGGGTATAAACAATACGTGATATTTAAGAGAAATTAGATTAATCCGTAGGTCGTGGCATAAAACAAAGCTAGATCAACGCCTAAGCCCGAGATTAACATTAAATTAGTTTTGAATTCAGAGCTGAAAACTTTAGAATGGGATTTCCTTAATCCCGATCGGTTATTTAATCTTGCGATTAAAAAAAGAGGAGAGAACCATTATTTAATCTTGCGATTAAAAAAGAGGAGATCAAGCATTGATCTCGATATTCACCATTCTAAAGTTTTCAGCTCAGTCCATATAATTGCACTTTAACGTGTTTTTAAATGTTCTTTAGAATTTTAAAAAAATTGCATTTCAAAATAATTCTAACAGAATACATTGGAACATTTATCATTCTATTATATTATTTTCAGGGCTAAGTCTTCCCTCTGTTAGATTAGAAAATAGAACAGAAACCAGGTGAATACAAATTGAAAGCATTTCCTTTTTTCTGACACATATTTTAACCCTATTACGGTTGAGAGGGGTCCCCCCCCCCGTGGTTTATTCTGAATAACTTAAAAATGGTTTACATTTGAACGCTAAAAACTTCTTCATTTTTTAAGCATCATAGTTGCAAACTTCTTTATGCATGGGGTAGGGTGGAGAATGGTCCAACTGTGGGTTGGTGTTTAAAAAAATCAGAAATGGTTTATAACTATTTGTAAACTAAGCTACAGGCTAAACATATATATATTTGAAAAGGCCTTGAAAAATGGATATAAAAACAAGTGTAATATCTTAATATTTGCTAAAAGTAAAAATGATTATTTTGGAAAACTTTTTTGACATACTTTTAAAACCTTTAAAAAACTCCTCTCCTGCACCCTAACAATTAAAGTTAGAGGTCTATTTTTTTTACTGAGCAGGCCTTGAAAAGTTGGTCTCACACTTCCCTATCTCAACTCTAAGGGCAAAATCATAAGTGTCACGTGGATTTAACGCTTCTGTCAATATATCAGAAAGCTTTGGCTTTCTATAACAATTTGAACCATTATACATAATATTTTAGCCTTTTTTCTTCAATACTTTTTTGTCGGCATATAGATTTTGAATAAAAAGTATAAAATAAACAAATCCGTAAGTTTAAAGATTGTTGAATTATAGACTAAAAGACGTTTTATTTCAAATAAATTAAACCGAATGCTTCTCACTCTGGTATATATTAGACAAAAATAGTCCTATTGGAATAGGGTTAAGTGAAAAAATGATTTTAATCACAATTCTATTTTACCCTTTATTTAGGAAAAACGTGACCAAATCGGAAAAAAGGTGAAATTAAAACTACCAACAAAATTTTTTTTAATAGTCTTTTTTTTATTAGTGAGAGTAACAAAACAGAAGACAGGTAAATTATATATTTTTAAACGAATTCATCTCTTTAAAATATTTATTTTAGATAAAATACAATTTTTATTCAGGACTGAGGGCCCACCATTACCAACAGAGGAAAGGTAAAATAAAGTAAAACTTATTAAAATAAATTTTCAATTGAAGTTTTGTAAACAAATTTTCACACATGTATTTCTAGGATTTTTTTTCAAATACAGGGGGGGGTGCAAAAATAATAATTATATATTTCTAAACATTTTATTCTAGGGAAAATGTAACCGACATTTTGCTAATAGATCTTCCAGTAAGTATGCATTATCATTCTAGAACTTTTTACAAGAAGTGACAAAATGAGGGGGGGGGAAGGATTTTCTTCAAGCGTAGAAAATCCTTACCCCCTCTCACCAGCAACGTTGACACTTCATCTTCCCCGAAAATTAGTTACGTTATATAAGGATTTTGAGTTTCCGTTAAGCTATGATGACGACATTTCTAGTACATTGGAGCGCATCAAGAGTATCTAACTTTACTTATAGCTAGCTTGACCTTACTACTGTTATATTTCAATCTGAGACATTAATATAACAAAATTCATAGTTTGAAAAATCAAAGGTCTAAGACATAAGATTGCAAAGGGATAAGAATTGAAAAATTAGAGTTTGTGGCAAAACCTCAATTCCTTTGAACAAATATAAAATTGTTTTTAATATTTTACCCTAAACAAGGTTTCTCTACTCTATAGTAAATGCAGGTGTTCACTTGAGATATAATCTTAAGATTGAAAAACAACAATATCTTTTACATCGTCTCTTAAATAAAAGGAAGGAAACCATTGTGAATCGGAGATGGCACTCTTCAAAGTGAGGATCACTTGAAGGCTGCATTCCCTTTACCAAATATATTCAATACTAGCTGAAGAACCCGGCGTTGCCCGTGGGGAAAAAAATATTTTAGAAAAAAAGTTGGATTTTTTTAGCCATGTCCCTCCAGACCCCGCGATTTAAAAAATTTGGGGAAATACGGCTCGGGTCTAAGCTGTCGTTGGACCTTATTCACGGCTTGAGTTTTCGGATTAAAGCTGCATCTATTTTTCCACAGAGTTGAATTTAAAAAACCGGTTTAATATTCTATTTGGCGGATTTTCATGGTAGGAATTGGCGCATTCCCAGTTTTTATTAGAACAAGACGCAACATTGAGTCTTATTCTCCACTAAAAACCAATCAAGGTCGGTTTTATTTTCTTTGGGCTTAACTCCTTAAGTCGAGCCGAATATCTTGCAGCTATCAATCACGTGACACAAGCTTTCGTTAGAGTTGGGTCTAAGATTGGGTCTTAAAGTTGGGTTTAACCCTATCTCCGCTGGGGTACTTGAAAACCAGGATACGCTGGGGGGGGGTCAATTTGACCCCCCCCCTCTAAATCCCATGTTTTATGTCCAAATATGACAAATGATACATCATTAGAAAGCTCTTGTGCTCTACTTTTAGAATCTGCAAACAAATTTGCAAATTTGCGAAAATTGAATTTTTTAATCGCAAAATCCAGTTTTATAGTAAAAATGTTTGCAAAAAAAAATTTGTCCAAAAAATGACAAATTATACATTTTTGAAAAGCCCTTGACCATGCCATTTCAAATATGCAAAAATTTTTGCAAAATTTTAAATAACCAGATTTTTAATCAAGAAAAACTAAAAATGTGCAAATTTCCTTTGACAGAATTTTTGCAAAAAATTTGCAATTTTTATTTCGCAAAACTTGTGCAATCCGTTTCCTTATGTCATAGGCTTTCCAAAAAGCTAAATTTTATCAAAATCTGACAAGTGAAAGTGGGTCAAAACAAAGATTTAGTTTGCTACAGGCAAAAGCAGTCATTCAGGCAGTGTGCCTGAGGACTCAGGCAGTTAGTATTAAAGCCCGGTTTTAGGCCTAAAGGGAGGGCTTTGGGTATGTAAGAAAAGTCAGAAAATTTCAACAGCCTCAGACCAATACTTTTTGAGTTATGTAAAAAAAACTACAGGGGGGGGGGTCAAATTGACCCCCCCCCAGCGGGAATAGGGTTAAGGAATTACGACTCGAGCCGAAGCTTTTAAATCGCGGGCTCAGGTTACACATGAGTGTCCACAACAAAATTCAGTCCATTTGGTCCAGCTGTCTGGCTGGCCAGAGGGAACATATATCTTGTTTTATTATATAGATATGTATTTAATATGTTGAACTGTAGGCTGGTAGCGATTATGGATTCGGTGAAGAGGACGGTGGAAAAGAAGTTTTAATAAAAACTAAGAACAGCGAAACTAAAGGAGTAGTTCACAAGAAGAATTCACTCTTTAGTAAAGATCTAGAGGTATATTCATTCATTTATATTCAAACATTTATATGCAAACATTAATATTCAAACAATTTTATTTAAACGTTAATATTCAATCATAAATATTTAAACATTAGTAATTAAACATAAATATTTGAATATCAATATCAATATTAATATTCAAAAAGTTCTGATATTTTTGATGAAATGGAGACAAATATCTGAAATTTTGATTATTCATAAAGCTTCCCTTGGGTCACGTGGTGATATCCCCCAAACAAAGTGTGGGCCCGATCGGATCAGTCTTTTTAACGTTTATTGTATACACACAGACAGACCAGACAGACCAGACAGACAGACAAGCCAAATTTATTGATAGATAAAGTTCTGATATTCAAGTTCTGATATTCAAGTTCTGATATTCAGTTCTGATATTAAAGTTCTGATATTTAAGTTCTGATATTCAGTTCTGATATTAAAGTTCTGATATTCAAGTTATTATATTCAAGTTCTGATATTCAAGCTCTGATATTCGAGTTCTGATATTCAAGTTTTAATATTCAAGTTCTGATATTCAAGTTCTGATGTTTAGTTATGATATTCAAGTTCTGATATTCAAATTCTGATATTTAAGTTCTAATATTCAAATTCTGATATTCAAGTTCTGATATTCAAATTCTGATATTCAAGTTCTGATATTCAAGTTCTGATATTTAGTTCTGATATTTAGTTCTGATATTTAGTTTGGATATTAAAGTTCTTATATTCAAGTTCTAATATTCAAGTTCTGATTTTCAAGTGCCAAAGATAATTGAATTTCCTCTATATTTGCGGCTTTATAAAGGAAAATAATTAACTAAAATATTGAAGTATTTACATAAAGGGAGATTGACAGAAATTGAAATTGAAATTAAAATATATTCTAATCCGGTTTATAGTTCCTAGCTTATACAGAGTTACCCACAAAAAATTAGACGTCAGAAACGATTGTACGTAATTTTTTTAATTCGTTTTCTTGCCTTTAGGGTTCCTCGTAGGCCAAAACAGACTTATTTATGTTCTGAATTATTTAGTAAAGCATTAAAATACTTAATAGTTTGTGGGTAACCCTTTAGTTCCTAGTTCCTAGTTTATAGGTTAACTGGTTATTAGTTCCTAATTTATAGTTCCTGGTTTATAGTTCCGCTATTAAAGTTCCTAGTTTATAGTTCATAGTTTATAGTTCCTAGATTAAAGTTCATAGTTTATAGTTCATAGTTTAAAGTTCATAGATTAAAGTTCATAGTTTATAGTTCATAGTTTATAGTTCCTAGATTAAAGTTCATAGTTTATAGTTCATAGTTTATAGTTCATAGATTAAAGTTCATAGTTTATAGTTCCTAGTTTATAGTTTATAGATTAAAGTTCCTAGTTTATAGTTCATAGTTTATAAATCCTAGATTAAAGTTCATAGTTTATAGTACATACTTTATAGTTCCTAGATTAAAGTTCATAGTTTATAGTTCATAGTTTATAGTTCATAGTTTATAGTTCATAGTTTAAAGTTCCTAGATTAAAGTTCACAGTTTATAGTTCATAGTTATAGTTTATAGTTCCTAGCTTATAGTTCCTAGATTATAGTTCCTAGATTATAGTTCCTAGTTTATAGTTCCTAGATAAAAGTTCCTAGATAAAAGTTCCTAGATTAAAGTTCCTAGTTTATATTTCCTAGATTATAGTTCCTAGATTATAGTTCCTAGATTAAAGTTCCTGGTTTAAAGGTCCTAGTTCTGGTTTATAGTTCCCTGGTTTTAAACAAACTACAAATGACTGGAGAAAATATCAGAAAACATGAACCCCGAACGAGAAGTAAATCTGTATTATAATAATATTAAATTAAAAATTATTTAACTAAGGTAGAAGAATGTGAGAAAGGAGAATGTAAAAAGTCAGCGATTGATAGCAAGGTAAGTTTAATATAATTTAGTTAACCAATGTTTTCACATTTTGATTAAGGGGGGGGGGGCATATATATTCCATCATATCTAAACAATATATTCCATCAAATCTAAACTATATATTTCATCAGATCTAAACATCTAAACTATATATTCCATCAGATCTAAACTATATATTCCATCAGATCTAAAGTATCAGATCAAAACTATGTTTTTCATGAGATCTAAACGAAAAATTCTATTAGATCTAAACTTTATATTTCATCGTACCTAAACTATATATTCCATCAGATACAAACTTTATATTCTTTCAGATCTAAACTAAAAATTCCATCAGATCTAAACTATATATTTCATCAGATATAAACTATATATTCCATCAGACCTAAGCTATATATTCCAACAGATCTAAATTATATATTCCATCAGATCTAAACTGAATTCCATCAGATCTAACTTATATATTCCATAAGATCTAAACTATATATTCCATCAGATCTAAACTATATATTCCATCAGATCTAAACTAAAAATTCCATCAGATCTAACCTATATCTTTCATCAGATATAATCTAATATACGTCTGTATAGTTTAAGAAGAAACTAGAAGATTGTACGTATACAGGAAAATTAGTAGATGACCCGGACTCTACTCTCTCTGTTACTAATTGTGCGGTAAGCTATGAATATGGTAACCAAGGTTCTAATGCAAGGAAAGTTATTTCAGAGGTGTACGCATTTTTTGTACTGCAGTGTACTATCTCTGGCCGGTGATGTAAACACAAGACAGATGTCACAGCCTGACATGGAATCAATTTTCATAAAAATAATCAATGAAATATTCTGGTCATAGGAAACTATTATGTAAATTTTCAAAATTATCAAAATTCAATGCTTTTTTCCTTCTCTGATACTAAAGGAATAGTGATGCATTTATTCTTGTTTACAATTTCGCCCAGAGAGAACTGGTTTCAATATGTACGCAGAGTATACGCAACTGCAATTAACTTTCCTTGCATTATAACCTTGATAGAAACCAACTACTCGGAGATTAGTCCTTATTCTCTCTAAATCTCCTGCTTCAAAGAAAGTTTCAGTTTCAGGATGTGTTATTATTTTTTTATTTTTTTATTTTTAAATTAAATTAAAGCTAACGATCTTTATTTAAAAAGTGTCAGTAAAAAAATAAACCGCTTATCTTTACATTATTTAAATTCAATTATTCAGCCAAAACTATCAACTTATTTAAAGTCCTAGTGCCTTCAATAATTCACAACACAGTTTTACGTTTAGATGGGGAATTGATAATTTGATCCAGCCTCTTTTTTACAAATATTAGTACATTTGTCTAATCTGGGAATATCTATTATCAGTACATTTGTCTAATCTGTGAATATCTATTATCAATGTATTTGTCTAACCTTTGAATATATATTATCTATATATTTGTCTATCCTGTGAATATCTATTTTCTATATTTTTGTCTAATCTATGAATATCTATTATCAGTATATTTGTCTAATCTGTGAATATCTATTATCAGTACATTTGTCTAATCTTTGAATATCTTTTATCTCTATATTTGTCTAATCTATGAATATCTATTATCAATATATTTGTCTAACCTATGAATATCTATTATCTATATATTTGTCTAATCTGTGAATATCTATTATCTATATATTTGTCTGATCTGTGAATATCTATTATCAGTATATTTGTCTAATCTATGAATATCTATTATCAGTATATTTGTCTAATCTATGAATATCTATTATCAATATATTTGTCTAATCTATGAATATCTATATATTAACTTTATATTTTTCTAATCCATGAATTTCTATTATCAATATATTTGTCTAATCCGTAAATATCTATTAATTATAAATTAGTCTAATATGTGAATATCTATACATTAAATATATGTTTGTCTAATCTGTGAATATCTTTTATCTATATATTGGTCTAATCTATGAATATCTATTATCTATATATTGGTCTAATCTATGAATATCTATTATCAATATATTTGTCGAACCTGTGAATATCTATTATCTATATATTTGTCTAATCTATGAATATCTATTATCTATTTATTTGTCTAATCTATGAATATCTATTATCTATATATTTGTCTAATCTATGAATATCTAGGGTGTGATGCAAATGACATACATGTCCTCGAAAGCAAATCTGAGTTCGAACTCATTTCGAAAAGAAAATGGAAAAACATATCAAAACGAAGGCATAATAAGGCGAGATCAGAAAATTTCCCAAAAAGGTAAAAACTATTAGAGTTGATGGATTTCAAGAGAAATCACTGTGAAGTTAAAAGGAAAGGGGGTAAAAGCTAAAGCCTTCGAATTTTTTGCGTTGATCGCGACACAAAAATTCCAAGTTATACAAAAACATTAATATTCGTAATATGGTCGACGGAGCTACATGACCAGATATTGCTGTAAATTCTGGTCACGTGATACAGACGTAACAAAATTATAACTTATTATATCTCTAAAAGATTAATAAATATTATATTAAAATTATAGTATGAGCCTACCTAATATTTCTGAGCACATCTGGGTTATTTCAATTTTTAGATTTTAAAGTTTGATTCCAATACCATGTCAAATATATATAATGAATTTTTGTATAACTCATTTTCATATATCATTTTAAAAGCTTCGACTCGAGTCGTAATTCCTTAAACCTGACCTCGACTCCACTCTAACAACAGCTTATGTCACGTGATTGACAACTGCAAGATCTTCGGCTCGACTTAAGGGGTTAGGTCCAATTAAAATAAAACCGACTTGGTTGGTTTTAGTGGAGGAATAAGGCTCAATGTTGCGTCTTGTTCTCATCAAAACTGGGAATGCGCCAATTCCTACCATGAAAATCCGCCAAATAGAATATTAAACCGGTTTTTTGAATTCAACTCGGTGGAAAATAAGATGCAGCTTGAATCCGAAAGCTGAAGCCATAAATAAGGTCCAACGACAGCTTATTCTCGAGCCGTATTTCCCCGAATTTTTTAAATCGCCGGCTCAGATAGAACAAAAATTAGTCACAATCAACTCCTAAAGTGTTTAGGCTTTAACTCAGTACCCCTTTCCATTTTACCTTTAGTCCCTTTAATACCATTTAAGTGGGAAGTCTCATGAAAAGGGGGGGGGGGGAAGGGAATAAATAATACAGCTTTTTGAGTGCAGTGAAAGAAATTAAAATTAAACTACAGTGATAACCAGAAAACTGTGGAATAGGAAGACGACATTAAATCAATACTGAAGTGCAATAGATGTTGTTACAAAACAAATAGTTTTATTGGTAAGTTATTAAATCACTCATTTAGTGAAATGGGTCTGTTTACACTGCACAATTGCTGTGCCTTATGTTCATTGGACTATTTAAAGTCATAACTTGAGTCAACTTCCTTTCTCCGAGTTTTCTGGTTATCCCTGTATATAAGAAAAGCATATTTGGTACATATATAAAAAAAGAGATGGCGTATAGTTTAGATTATATTGAAAAAAACCTTTTTAATTTTGTCTCAGTTAATAATTAATGTTTCAAACTGCACTGTGAAAACATTTTGTCAAAATAAGTAGAAGTGAAAAGCATCATATCCTATCCAGTCAACAGCCTAGACAGCTGTCCTATCCAGTCAACAGCCTAGACAGCTGTCCTATCCAGTCAACAGCCTAGACAGCTGTCCTATACAGTCAACTGCCTAGACAGCTGTCCAATCCAGTCAACAGCCTGGACAGCTGTCCTATACAGTCAACTGCCTAGACAGCTGTCCAATCCGGTCAACAGCCTAGACTGCTGTCCTATCCAGTCAACAGCCTAGACAGCTGTTCTATCCAGTCAACAGCCTAGACAGCTGTCCTATATAGTCAACTGCAGCCTAGACATTTGTCCTATCCAGTCAACTGCCTAGACAGCTGTCCTATCCAGTCAACAGCCTAGACAGCTGTCCTATGCAGTCATTTGCCTAGACAGCTGTCCTATCCAGTCAACAGCCTAGACAGCTGTCCTATCCAGTCAACAGCCTAGACAGCTGTCCTATCCGGTCAACACCCTAGACAGCTGTCCTATCCAGTCAATAGCCTAGACAGCTGTCCTATCCAGTCAACAGCCTAGACAGCTGTCCTATCCAGTCAACTGCCTAGACAGCTGTCCTATCCAGGCAACTGCCTAGACAGCTGTCATATCCATTCAACAGCCTAGACAGTTGTCCTATCCAGTCAACAGCCTAGACAGCTGTCCTATCCAGTCAACAGCCTAGACAGCTGTCCTATCCGGTCAACAGCCTAGACAGATGTCCTATCCAGTCAATAGCCCAGACAGCTGTCAATTTTGTCAAAATAAGCAGAAGTGAAAAGTATTATTTCCTATCCAGTCAACAGCCTATACAGCTGTCAATTTTGTCAAAATAAGCAGAAGTGAAAAGTATCATATCCGGTCCAGTCAACAGCCTAGACAGCTGTCAATTTTGTCAAAATAAGCAGAAGTGAAAAGTATCATATTTGGTCCAGTCAACAGCCCAGACAGCTGTCAATTTTGTACTTTAAATTCTTTCTAAGAGTTTGAGGTCAAATTTATTTATCAGTCTATAAGTCAAATACTTGCTCTATAAATTATGGTTCTTTAGTGCAGGCAGAATTATTTTTCAGAAATAACATAATTAGTTGATTGAAGAACTAACAATTTCCTCATATCTATATTTCCATAAAATATCTTCTTATTTCCAAATAAAAAATGTTTTAATTTGAAGCAACCTTTAAACTTTGAAAGAGAAGTCACCATAATAAAAATTAATTAATTTTTGAAAATTAAAAATTAACATTTCAATCTTTATTACCCAGACAAAGTTTTTAACGGAACTGTTTTCTGAATCGGACTGTAGGACACACTTTAAAAATTGCAAGTCACTTCAAATTAAGTTTACACAGTCACGTTAACTATTTATGTCAGGAGTTGAGGAAACTTTAGCAGAAGAAACTGCTCGAAAGGTTAAGAATGGGGACGCATATCTTACTCCTGATGGAGAAACTGTAGAATTGGAGGAGGTATTATTCTTATTAAACCTGATTATGCGGAGGGGGGGGTGATGGAGAAACTTTCTTAAAGTTAACATGCTTCTTCGATTTTAACTTTATTAATTGTTGCTCCTTCTGCGGCATTTTCTGTTCTACACTTACCTCTGCCCCTTTAGAAAAATTTACTGGCTCTTTAACAATGAATTAATTAATTAATTGTTCTATGCCTAGATGGACAGTAGAGATTATTCAGATGATAAGTGTTGCAGAGTAAAGAAAAAAATCTGTAAGAAGGATAAAGTTACAAAGAAAACAAATCTGCTCAGCTGTCGTACAAGGTGTTTATATTCAATCCTTTAAAACTAATTGGATAGTTAAACTAAACATTTTAAATTAGAATGTGTCAACTTTATATATCATTTTAAATGGCTTAAATTAGATTTAATTGACGGGATTTAGTTTCCAAAATTGTCAACTTTTAATAAATGTACTTTCAGCAATATGTTTTTTTGCTTTTTATGACGTTTTCTAACATAACTATACAATATACATACATGCAAGTGACATCTTTTAATTGAACTAAAACTATCTTAGAACTTTATTGTTTTTAATCTCTTCATCTTTGCAACATCAAACATTATCATATCGCAGAATTCTTAGTTTGAAAAAGTTTACGATTTTAGTTTGCAAAAATATGCAATGAGACCCCTATAATTATGGAATATTTAAATCATAACATATAGCAGAATTCTTAGTTTGAAAAAGTTTACGATTTTAGTTTGCAAAAATATACAATGAGACCACTATAATTATGGAATATTTAAATCATAACATATAGCAGAATTCTTAGTTTGAAAAAGTTTACGATTTTAGTTTGCAAAAATATGCAATGAGACCCCTATAATTATGGAATATTTAAATCATAACGGTCTAAAAGTTGTCTTCCAAAAACCAAGAATTATGTTAGATTTAATAATCAAAAGGAAATGAGTTTTTGCCACCAACTCTAACTTACTCCTTTACCCGATATCTTAGCAACCCGATGTTTTAGACCTTTGATATTTCAAACTATGAATTCTATTAGTTCAAATAGTACAAGTATGAAATATCATCAGTTGCAAAAATATAAAGATCAGGAATTTTTGAGTTTGTGGCAAAAACAAAATTCCTTTGAAAAATCACATGTGAACAATATTAGATTGCAAATAAATATGTATCTGAAAATAAAAATATAATGATAGTAGTTTTAGTCTTACTAAATCTTGTCTTTTTTTAGTTACTCGGACACTAAATGTGGAGTTGATTGCGAAAAATACAAAGAAAGAATTCAAAAAAATTCCAAAAAAAATATAGAAAATATCATGAAAAAGAACCAAACAGCAACAGAGGTAAATAACTTTAAATCTTTTGCCATCATCGATAGATTTTAGTTCGCTAAAGTCAACGACTTCCGAGTCGTTAAAAAGTTCTGAAGATATAATTGCTTGAAATAGGATTGCCAAAAATGCGGGTACTACAAAAAATATCAAAATAACATTTTCACTTATGTTAGTTTTACATCCGAACATCTTCTTTCCCTGACATTAATGATAAAGTCCTTTCTAATCTTTTCAAAACTCCATTTTTTAATGTTTAGAGCATTTACAAAATCCTTGAAACATTCCTACCGGGTAATGGGGAGGGGGGTAAAATCAAAAAGTATTTGTCTGAGGCAGGTCAAAATCTTACAAACCAACACATGCCCCTCACTTTAGCTTAAAAGTTGATCTTTTATACCTACTGCCTGAGTTATAAATGCCTAAGTTTACCTTTACCAGATATATATCTCCGGGATTCCCTATTTTGAGTAGAGGAGACGTCATAAGGAATAGATTTAAATAAAATGATGAAGAGTTATCTAGCTCTGCAATGTATAGTGTATTAATTATATCACATTATGTTTATCTAAGGAAACGAAAAGTTCCGCGGGAAAAGATGAAACAACAACATCTAAATCTGAAACCTCTAAGGAAGAAACACCTGAAGAATCCACAACTGAAGCATCCAACAACGAGGAAACTACTGAAAGTAATGCTGATAAAGATAAGAAGGATAAGAAAGATGTGATAAAGGACAGCTTTTACAATGAACTATTCGGTGACGACGATGAAGATGAAAAAAAAGATGGCGATGATAAAGAAGAAGACGCCTACGAAAAAGAAGAAAACAAGGTATTAACAAGGCTTAAGCACAAAAAATACATAGCTATGAATACTTAATACATAATATAGATTTGCATGCGTTACAGCTTGGAGATAATCTAAATATAATATGGGACGCTCTGTAGAAGCATTGACAAATATAGATTCACTTATTTGATAATTGTCAATCTCAGACATGCTTATTGCTTAATTGTGGGGAAGACACAAAACACTTTTCTAGGGGTTTATTTATTATAAACAAAGTCTTCATTTTGTTTGCAAATATTGCTGAATATTTTATATGCAAATTACACGATACAGCCATATCTTGCAAAATCTTTAAATCGGATTTTGCAAATAAACCTTTATGAAAGTTCGTGAAATTGACCGTAAACAATATCATGCACACCGTTTAAACACGCGNGAAATTATTATTTGTGAAGAAGAAGACTACTGGTGGTTCAGGGGATAAGGATGAAAAAAGTAAAGATCTAAGAGATCTAGTGACTGATGAACTAGTAAAAATAAACGAGGATGCTGAAACTTCTAAAAAAAGAGATGCACCAAAATCTAACTCGATGTTCAGGTTTGAACCCAAATTTATGTTAAAAAGGGTTATAGCCGGTCAAAAGTGAAAAACGTTTGCTCAGAAAAAATGATTATTTTAATATTTTTTTGGTAATCCATGAAAAAAATCGGAAAAATCGGCGAAATTTTAAATTTTGAATTTATTTTGGGCAAAAAATGGCGTCTTGAAAGTCAAAGTTTAAAGCAGAAACTTAAAAAAGGGACCAAATTAAATCGAACTAAAAGCCTGATGGGAAGGGGAGCACCTTGCTTTATATAATATAATATCACATGTTTAGAATAACGTAAATTATGTAAGCCAAAAAATAAACTTATTATTATCATTTTTAGGAGTAAAGCTGTAAAATTAATTTGCGCGGGGGGTTGTGCAGAGAAAGCTGATAATCCAACTGAGAAAATCTACGATGAGCGAACTATTGAACTTGGTATTTTTGTTGACAAATATCTTTGGAATGATATGAAAGTAAGGATAAAAATAGTTTCAACCATTTTTATCAAGAAAACGAAATGTGTGTTCTTAAAGGGAATGTACACGTAATTTCAAGTGACCCTCCATTTTTGAGTGCTGAGTCCGATTCACAAGAAACCCCCTTAGCCTTAGACTGAACAAAATTGCGGACTTTTCCTTATTCATCAACAGAAGCACAATTATGATATTTTTGCAAGCTGATTCATATTCCAGGAATGTTAATATCTACTAAACAGGGTGTCCCACATCAAATTAGACCGCTTCAATGGGTCTAAACTACGATTTGGGACAAATCAGAAAATTTAAGAAGAATGAATCATTTGAAAAATTTAATAAGGCTATTAGAACATTTTTCTGTAGAAATTGCTAGATTTTTTCGAGTGTTATGTGCGTATTTTTTCGTTAAAGATTGGAGATAATCTAATATGATATGGGACGCTCTGTATAAAATTCTAGATATTTGTAAGACAAGTTAGCTGCCTTGAGTTCACACTTTACGCTAGCGTACATTTTCAGGCAATTAGAACGCCATTTTTGAGATAAAAACAGAGAGTTCTCTGCCGTCAATGATTAAGGTCCAGAGTACCATTGTAAATTTTGCATTCCCCTCTTTTTAACAAAGGTCACTTGAAATAGTGCTTATAGTCCATATCAGAAAATAAATATACATTAGGGTTTAAGTTCATTATTATTTCCTATGCATTATCTATATTCAGAAAAAGCTGCCCTATTAAACATAATAGGTATTTGAGATAAAAGCATGTCGTCTTCTAAAGAAGTATTGCGGCATTTTTCCATTCTGAAATTCATTATTTATGGTAGTTTTGTTTTTTGTGTTGACCATTGTCACTGTTAAGTCTGGCTTATTTCAAAAAATGGGCTGATATCTAACCAGCTAGAGCTAGCTGTACACTGTACATTTCACATACAGATTATACCAGGCAAAACGGGACGGTACGCCAAATGAACCAGCCCCTTCTAGAGAAATACTATTGTTGTCTGAATTAACTGTGTACATAATGATTTAAAAGAGAAAGAAACAGTGCATAGTCCCCGAAGAATAAGGGATATACGAAAAAGGGCTGACTATATTTTTACAGTCGTCCCTGAAGTCTCATTGATTTTAGTAGCCTTTTAACCCAACTTTTTCACGACGCGGCACTGCACCTTACCACTGTAACTCGGGTTGATTTTACCGGGCCAACCTTTATCAGGGAAACAAAGCTGTTCAGTACAAATTCAGGCATAAGGCAAGCCATGGTAGTACGCCAAATAAATGGTCCCCTTCCAGTGAAAGTCATGTGTGGCATTTGGTCATTTTTATTTCTTAGCATATTTTTTAGGAACAAGTAAAAGGTGGAGAAGATGATGTAAAGCTTGCTATGCTAGATATGATTCACAGCCTTGTCGTTAGCACTGAAACACTTTATCAGCATCCAACCGTATCTGCAAAAGGTAAATGTATTAAAGTCCGATTCACAAGGGCACCCTTTAAACCTTTATCTGATCAAGAAAGAATAAAATATCCTTCTTTTTCTCTCACAAAAAATGATTGTTTGAAATTGTGGTTTCTCTCTAAAAAAACGACTTGCGGATTTCAGCTGAAGGATATAATAGATCAAAAAATCAGTAGTATAGGATCGGAAAAGAAAATATTTTCAAAATATATGAGTAACAACTGATACGTCTCACGGCGCTGAATACTGTCCACATTTTTTATTTTTTATTTATATATTAAATTGTTTACTTTAGAACCAAAAAAAAGCTTTATGGGACTCTGCCAAATACAAAAGCCAGTTTTTTGTCTTCAATTGGTTTAATAATTAACAAATCTGTTTTAAATCAACTTTTTTGGATTCATTGTTTTAAGACGGATCTTTTGATACCCTTCTTGATATTTTTGATTTTTTGTTCGGTCTTACTAGCAACTTTTTTAATCAATTTTTTGCGAAATTTGCCAAAATTGTACGTCAGTGAAATAAAAATCTAAAAATTACCAGAGGGATTAACAAAGTTTTGACAAACGTTGTTAACTGCACCTCTAGGTTGAAAATTAAAAAGTAGGTAAGTTGACTAACCCTATTAAATCTTTGTTTTTGATTCTCCTGCATGCATGATCTATGTGTCTGTTAGATTTTCTAAATTTGTAAAAAAAATTATCAAATTAAACAAATTGGTTAATTTATTAAGCTGAAAGAGAACCATGACCGATTTACTGCAATGATATCCCTAATCTTCTCTTTGAGGAAAGCCAGAAACGACGATATCCTTCCAATAATTTATCGGATAAAACTTTGAAGTAAACCGTATTGAATCATTCATAATTTCAGGAGGTTTTAAGCTGGCTATTAATGGTATAGTAATCTGGAAGGTAAATTTACCTAAATGAAAAATTATAATTATGTTTCTTTAGGATAATAATAAGGTTTCTAAAGGAAAATAATTAGGTTATATTTAAGAAAATTAGGTTTCTTTATGATAATAATTAGATTTCTCTAGGATAATAATTATATTTCTCTAGGATAATAATTATATTTCTCTAGGATGATAATTAGATTTCTCTAGGATAACAATTAAATTTCTCTAGGATAATACTTAGATTTCTCTAGGATAATAATTAGATTTCTCTAGGATAACAATTAGATTTCTCTAGGATAATAATTATATTTCTCTAGGATAAAAATTAGATTTCTCTAGGATAATAATTAGATTTCTCTAGGATAATACTTATATTTCTCTAGGATAATAATTAGATTTCTCTAGGATAATAATTACTAGGATAATAATTAGATTTCTCTAGGATAATAATTAGATTTCTCTAGGATAATAATTAGATTTCTCTAGGATAATAATTAGATTTCTCTAGGATCATAATTAGATTTCTCTAGGATAATAATAAGATTTCTCGAGGATCATAATTAGATTTCTCTAGGATAATAATTAGATTTCTATAGGATAATAATTAGATTTATCTAGGATAATAATTAGATTTCTCTAGGATAATAATTAGGTTTCTGTAGGATAATAATTAGATTGTATCAAAGATAATAATTAGGTGTCTCTAGGATAATAATTAGGTTGTATCAAGGGTAATAATTAGGTTGATCTAGGATAATAATTAGGTTTCTCTAAGATAATGATTAATATGCAACTAGGATAACAGTTAGGTTGTATCTAGGATAATGATTAATATGTATCTAGGAAAACAGTTAGGTTGTATCTAGGATGATAACTAGGTTGATCCAGGGTAATAATAAGGTTGTATCTAGGAAAATAATTAGGTTGTATCTAGGAAAATAATTAGATTGTATCTAGGATGATAATTAAGTTGTATCTAGAATAATATTTAGGTTGTATCTAGGATAATAATTAGGTTTCTCTAAGATAATGATTAATATGTATCTAGGATAATGATTGGGTTGTATCTAGGATAATAATTAGGTTTCTCTAAGATAATGATTAATATGTATCTAGGATAATAATTAGGTTACATCCAGGATAATAATTAGGTTGTATCTGGGATAATAATTAGGTTTCTCTAGGCTAATAATTAGATTGTATCTAGGATAATAATTAGATTGTATCAAGGATAATAATTAGATTGTATCTAGGATAATAATTAGATTGTATCTAGGATAATAATTAGGTTGTATCTAGGATAATAATTAGGTTGTATCTAGGATAATAATTAGGTTGTATCTAGGATAATAATTAGGTTGTATCTAGGATAATAATTAGGTTGTATCTAGGATAATAATTAGGTTGTATCTAGGATAATAATTAGGTTGTATCTAGGATAATAATTAGGTTGTATCTAGGATAATAATTAGGTTGTATCTAGGATAATAATTAGGTTGTATCTAGGATAATAATTAGGTTGGATCTAAGATAATAATTAGGTTGTATCTAGGTTAATAATTAGGTTGTATCTAGGATAATAATTAGGTTGTATCTAGGATATTAATTAGATTGTATCTAGGATAATAATTATATTGTATCTAGGATTATAATTAGATTGTATCTAGGATGATAATGATCCTCTAGTCAAGGCTATTCATGATGCTGGAGACCAGTTGGAACAGCTTGATGCCTTTCAGGTCATTCTTTATCCTGGTTGGGATTAATCCTGGGAAGGAAAATTTCTGTTTAGGATTATTCCTTTTTGGGATTAATCCTGGTTGGAATAATAATGAACTTAGTGGGAATATATGAAAATAATAATGAATTGTTCAGGAATATATAAATGATAATAATGAACTTGTTCAGGAATAAATGAAGCTAATATTGAACTGTTCAGCAGTGTATGAAGAATAATAATGAACTTTTTCAGGAAAATATGAAGCTAATATTATGAACTGTTCAGCAGTGTATGAAGAATAATAATGAACTTTTTCAGGAATATATGAAGAATAATAATAAAACTGTTCAGGAATAAATGAAGAATAATAATCAAACTGTTCATGAATATATGAAGAATAATAATAATGAACTTGTTCAGGAATATGCGAAGAATAATAATGAACTTGTTTAGGAATAAATGAAGAATAATAATAAAACTGTTCAGGAATATATGAAGAATAATAATAAAACTGTTTATGAATATATGAAGAATAATAATAATGAACTTGTTCATGAATATATGAAGAATAATAATGAACTTGTTCAGGAATATGCGAAGAATAATAATGGACTTGTTTAGGAATAAATGAAGAATAATAATAAAACTGTTCAGGAACATATGAAGAATAATAATAAAACTGTTCAGGAAAATATGAAGAATAATAATAATGAACTTGTTCAGGAATATATGAAGAATAATAATAAAACTGTTCAGGAATATATGAAGAATAATAATAAAACTGTTCAGGAAAATATGAAGAATAATAATAATGAACTTGTTCAGGAATATATGAAGAATAATAATAAAACTGTTCAGGAATATATGAAGAATAATAATGAACTTGTTCAGGAATATAGGAAGAATAATAATAAAACTGTTTAGGAATATATGAATAATAATAATAAAACTGTTCAGGAAATTATGAAGAATAATAATGAACTTGTTCAGGAATATAGGAAGAATAATAATAAAACTGTTTAGGAATATATGAAGAATAATAATGAACTTGTTTAGGAATATATGAAGAATAAAAATGAACTTGTTTAGGAATATATGAAGAATAATAATAAAACTGTTCAGGAATATATTCACTTTAAATATTTAGATTGAATACTTACTTGTTCATGGGTCAAGTTTAAAATACTAGAAACGCAGCTTAACTTATCATCGACAGGCAAACTTTTATTTTGAACTGAAATGAAGTTTAAAAGTTATCAAAATTAAAACGGTTATTCGCAACAACCAGTCGTTTTAGGGTTAAAAATATTCAGCTGTGTAGAACTTGGACATGTGATAATATGCATTATAATTGTCGGAGGTCTACATGAAAAGAAAGTATTTAAGAAGTGAAAGTTTTGCGAAAGTAAATCATATATAAACTAGACTGAACCAATCCTCTCTTTTAACTTTTATTGTGATAATCTTCTCTTTGTAGTTTGTACAGTAAAAAAAAGCAATAACAAAAAAAAATCGCTGATTTTCAAATCTTATTAGCGTATTGTTAAATTTCACAAACATCAAAAGCTTTTAAAGACAACTTTTTGTAACTCTGAGCATCCATAAACCTTCCTTTGGGGTCATGTAAGGTTCCACACAAAATTTGGGCCCAATCGGTTCAGCCGATTTGACGTTTTTTGGAAACAGGCAGACAGACAAGCAAAGCAAATCATACATAAAAGTTATAAAAAGACAAGGATGAATATATCAAGGTGGTGATGCTGGAGTTGCTTACAGTGGTGTTGTTTGTAAAGTGTAAGTATTTTCAAGGGCGGGGGTGGGGTCTCTTTAAAAACGGACGGTAGTTGGGGTAGTTGCCATACAGATTCACCTTCAAGGGCGGGGGTGGGGTCTCTCTAAAAACGGACGGTAGTAGGGGTAGTTGCCAATGAAAAACTTTTCTATTTTAGTTTTGATTTCCAACAAGCTTTTTATATAAGTTCAAAAGTAAGGAATGAGAAGCTGTTAATTGACAGGGTCTCTTTGCTTCCTTGTTATGTGTCTCCATGCTGTTTGGAAGCTTAGTGGAAATCAAAAATTGAAAGTCGTCTGCATTGTATTGATATATACGAAAACTGTTATATATAATATTGATATAAGAGAGGCAGTGGGACTAACAACTGTAACTCTAAGAGAAGGAAAACACCTGGATAATATGCCGGCCCTAATGGCTCACGAGATGGGACATATTTTGGGATCTCCGCACGATGGAACAGGCGTAGGAACCTATCCTCCTGATACAACTTCGTATAATATACCTGGAACGTGTCCGGAAAACTTGTATATCATGACTCCGTCACAATCTGGCACTATTGTGGAGTGGAGTGAATGCTCAAGGTAACATAAATGCACGTTGAACTAGAGGTCCTGATTCTGAATTTAATGAATTTGAGCTGCGTCTCAAATCCGCCAAAAAAACGGATTTAATTGGGTCCCGACTTAAATCTTAAAACATTGAATACAGTTTTAAGTAGAACCAGCAATATTTGAGCCGCGGCTCAAATTCTTAAAATTAGGCCTCCGGTTTAAAATCCACTGAGTTTAACTTTAGAACCCATTTTCACCAATTAAATATATATTTTTCGTATATTTTGTTGTATTTCAAGAAGACTCTGTCCCAATAAAACAGTATAGAATTACCCACAAAATATGAGACTTCAAGGACGACTGTCCGTAATTTTTACTATGTGTTTCCTTACATTTATAGAACTATGCAACTATATAAACTTTTTTCTTTCTTTGTCAGAGATCATAAAAAACGATTAAATTATTTTGAATTGTAAAGTTGAAATTCGGTAGGTCGTCTTTACAGTCTCGTCCTTTTTGGGCAACCCTATATCCACCACACAATAAAACAACTATTTTTTAGGAGAAGCATTGACTTCCTTTATGACCTTCGAGAAAAGGAAAACCCCAAAAATGGAAACTGTTTTTATACATAATTTATATTTTAATTTATTGAACTAATGAAACAAATATAATCAACTTCAAGTACTCTTTTCAACACTTGTATACTAGATATATGATATATCTTGTATACTAGATATATGATATATCTTGTTTACTAGATATATGATATATCTTGTTTACTAGATATATGATATGATATTCTTGTATACTAGATATATGATATATCTTGTTTACTAGATATATGATATATCTTGTTTACTAGATATATGATATATCTTGTTTACTAGATATATGATATGATATAACTTGTTTACTAGATATATGATATATCTTGTTTACTAGATTATATGATATATCTTTTCAAAACTTGTATATTAGATATATGATATATCTTTGTAATTCTAAATATATTATCTACATTTAAAATAATAGGTTTTAAGGGCGCTACAAATCCATTTTCTATTCTAATTGTGAACAATTTCTTATTGGAAAACAATAACAAAAAAAGTTTGCGGATTTTATAAAAAATTTCGTGGGTTTTCTAAATTGAATAGATAGATAGATAGATAGATAGATATATATATGACTAAATATTTAATTAAAAACAATTTAAATTGCACAATTTTTACATTTTAATTTAGTCAGGGTCTCTCTAACCATTGTTGGTTGTTTTGAATGAGAGGCCCTTCTGCAGCGATACATACAAGTTCAATTCAAATAATACAAAATAAAACAAAAACAATTTAGAACTAAAGGAAAAGGAGGAAAGGGAAAAGTAGTAGATAGAGGAAAGGTATTGAAGAATAGAGAGGAAAAGAAGAAGAAAGAATCGAAGGGGGGGGGTGTACAACCCTGCACACGAAGTTTATAATGTTTATGTTTTATTTTGTTTTGTTATAATAACAGGGGAAAGGGGATAGAATCAACATTTAGAAAGATTTATACAACGAAAATTATTATATTCTTCAAGAAAACTTTTTTTAAGACTTATTTTAAAATTTGCTAAGGATGCCTAAAGATTTTATTTCCAATGGAATAGAGTTCCAGGTCCTTTGAAGAAAACCCGTAGGAAAACTTTCTAGATATTTATTGTTAACTAATTCTAATTTATAACTGTTTGTTCTATTTGGTTCTGCTAACGCTTTAAACATTCCATTAAAAGATAATGAAAGTTTGTCAATCATATATTTAAACATAAAAACAGCAGAATTAAATTTGATCATGTCTTTTATTTTTAGAATTTCAAGTTTCAGAAAAAGTGGATCTGTGTGTGCAGCATAACCATTATCTGCTAGAACTCGTAGAGCTTTTTTCTGAAGAGTAGATAATTTACCTAATTTACTATTTACTGACGGACCCCAAGATAAAATACCATACTCTAGTTGACTTTTAATAAGACTATCATATATTAATTTTCTAATTTTCAAAGGAAGGATATGTTTTACATTTCTTAGTGCAAATATCGCACTTGAAATTTTAGCACATTTGTGGTCTAATTGAAAATTCCATTATAGAAACTCATCAAATCTAACTCCTATAAATTTAAAATGTTTTTCTTTACAACCTAACCCTATTCTTTCTCGTCCCCAATCATTAATTTGTATTGTTGATCATCGAAAGGCATATTTTTTTTTTCTAAACAAAATAAATTTAGTTTTAGAAACATTAAGAGTAAGTTTGTTTGCTTGAAACCAACATGCTGCTTTACAGAGCTCTACATTAGCAGACGAAAAAAGTTGATGAAGATTACTGGAGGATTTAAGGAAACCTGTATCATCAGCAAAAAGAGAAGTAAAAAAAGATGTACAATTAGGAATGTTATTTATATACAGTAAAAAGAGTATTGGTTCTAAAACAGATCCTTGAGGTACACCACATAAAATCTTTTTAAGAGATGACTCAAATTCTCCTAAATTTACATATTGCGTTCTGTTTGTTAAATAATTTCTAAACCATTCGTTGGTGATACCTCTAAAACCATAATGCTTCAGCTTTCCTAAAAGTATATCAAAGTCAACAGTATCAAAAGCTTTTTTTAGATCTAAGAATACTCCCAACGTATATTCAGATTCATCCTTTTTCAGACTTTGGTAAATTTTATTTAAGAATTGTAAAAGTGGATGTGAGGTGTCATGTTTGGGTCTAAATCTATATTGATGAGAATATAAGATACAATATTTATCTATAATTCTGAACATTTGACGAGAAACCAGATTTTCCAACAACTTCGAAAATGAAGAAAGTAAACTGATAGGTCGATATTTGTGAAATCACATGTGGCACCTGATTTAAAGATTGGTATTACTTTTGCACACTTGAAGCTATCCGGTAAAAATCCTGTTTTTAAAGATAAATTTAATAAATAAACAACTGGAGAAATTACATTTGGCATGATATCCTTCAATAACTTCGTAGAAATATTATCTTTACCACAGCTTACTTTACCTTTAAGCAATGAAAGTGTTTCGAATATAGTTTCTGGAGTCACATTTGCAAAAATGAAGTTTTGCTCAATAGGATTAGATAGATATTCTGAAAAAAATTTATTTGTAGAAGGAATAGATGATGCAAGTTTAGGAACAACATTTACAAAAAAAATCATTAAAACCTTCAGTTATTTCATTTACTCCAGAAAATGCCTTACCGTCACTCACAAAAAAAATCAGGTATTTCTGTCTTTGAGATGAAAATCGAATTTTGCTGGAGGCTAACTTTTGAAATTGTGATCATCCATAAACCTTCCCCGGGGTCATGTGAGGCCCCCACACAAAATTTGGGCCCGCACTGTTAGAAAAACATTTCTTCCAAATCTGGTAAAATGCTGTCGAAGAACAAATAGGTTCCATGAAAACCACTAAAAAAACCTCCCATTACTTATATTTATTGTCACACTTCTTATAATTAACTTGACCAGAAAATGTTACTGTCACAGGAAATATATTGATTAAAACAAGAAAAAACTTCTGTTCCAGTATTTATAATGAGTGCTAGATAACATGCAAATTTGAAAATTCTATCGCAATAAATATGAGTTCTGTCACATTATTCTCCGAGTTAGCAATCTTTTGTCACACCATTTAATAATGCTTTGACAAGCGATATATCTCCTATCTCCTAGGTAACAGTGTACACAGTACACACAGTGTACACTTTTCAGCAGTTTACATGGGTACTGGAATAGGGTAAGGTAGTCATACGATTTGAAATTCCGTGCCCTCTTACGTCACAACTGCATTAATTGATTGTAAAAATTAGGATAGAGGACGACTTACAAAGACGACAACGAATACAGTAAATCAATCAATAATGATAATTCATTTTGCCAATTTAAGGCGTAAGAAATCGGTAAATTTCAATAAAAACCAGCCAGTACCTTCTAAATTTAGATACATGTAAAGTACTTCTTTAAGATTTAGTGGGATAATAAAAAATACACGATGATATAAAGATTACATTGAATTACATCCAAGATTCAACGATGAAATATGTACGTAATACTCGCAACCCCTAATGTTTTATGTATGCAAATGATGCATTCTTTTCGAATTTTTCTGATTAGGCCCAAAAATCGCCATTTAGAGGCATACACAATCGGAAATGATAATTGGGATTTTTAGAAATTCCATTTAAGTCCATAAAGCAACTCAAGTGAAGTTTTACAACCCTTGTATCTTTCTTGTTCAAAATTGTTTCTAACTTTCAGTTCAAAACTCTACTCATTGTAAAAAAAATAATAATGTTAAAGTTTAATTTTGAAAATGTTTCCATACAATATTTTTCTCCTTGAAAAAAAATAAAATGTAAAAATTTAAATTTATTGTTACAAGTGAAAAAACATTCGATATTAAATAAGGACTTCCACAATATCTATCCTCATCCTTGTCCTCTTGCTGTATCCATCCTCATCCTTGTCCTTTAGCTATATTCATCCTCATCATTGTCCTCCAGCTGTCTCCATCCTCATCCTTGTCCTCCACCTGTATCCATCCTCATCATTGTTCTTCAGCTGTATTCATCCTCATCCTTGTCCTTTAGCTAAATCCAACCTCATCCTTGTCCTCTATCTATATCCAGCCTCATCCTTGTTCTTTAGCTAAATCCATCCTCATCCTTGTCCTCTATCTATATCCATCCTCAACTTTGTCCTTTAGCTATATCCATCCTTGTCCTCTAGCTATATCCATCCTCCTTCTTGTCCTCTAGCTGAATCCATCATCATCAATGTCCTTTAGCTATATCCATCCACATCCTTGTCCTCTAGCTGTATCACTCCTTATCCTTGTCCTTTAGCTGTATTATTTGTATTTATTCACATGGTTAGCATGTCTCATCTGATTGTGCTTCTCTTGTACGTTCAGGTTATTGTTTAGAGTCTTCAGTCTGAGAAAAAATCTTGTTCTGCTGTATAAACTGATCATCTCAGGGGGATACTCTGGAAATTTCAACTCAAGGATTGAAGAAACCCGGGTGATTGGTTTTTTTTCAAGAGATAGCGTATTAGCGTGAAATCTGGTGAATATCAGTTCAGCACTTCTTAGAAAATCTTGAAGTTTTTGCGAAGGCATGTACAAATCTCCCGTACTTTTTAAACTCATCCATTTGGAGCAATTTGATGAATTCTTTGTTTTCTCACCCAACCAGTTAAATTTCTCCGCCAGCTTGAAGCAGATGTAACCCCTTACAAAGTTCATCCCCTCCTTCTCACACTGAGAAATGTTGTCTTCTTCTAGGGATTCTGAATCATCAGAATTCCTAAACAAAAAAGTGAAATAAAAAGTTATTACAGGCCTTTTGAGGTATTCTTACATAATTAATTAGTTTATATGTAATTTTTTATGTAAATTACCTTGAAGAAGACTACATCTTTTCCTGCTCTTCAAACTCTTCAAACTCAGTCAGTAAATCTTCATTTCCTGTAGCCATTCCGGTTGTAACAAAATCTTGATCTATAGGTACATACTTGTCCAGGCTCTCCTCCCCCACACTAGGTTTAGAAACCGGCACAACATGGTCTGTCTCAGTGCAGAGAAGTTTCACTTTTGCACGCTGTAGAGCTTGAAGGTGGTCAGGGTGAATGTCAGGTC